GGTAAAGATGGCATGGGGAAAGCAGGCAAGGGAAAAGAGATGGTGAAGGATTGGTGTGGAGTAAGTTGTGTGTGGAAGAGTCAATGTGAGTAAGTTGTGTATGGACAAGTTGTGTTGGATGTATATATGTATGTATGTATGTATGTACGTATGTACGTATGTACGTATGTAATGTATGTAATGTATGTATGTATGTATGTATGTATGTATGTATGTATGTATGTATGTATGTGTGTATGTGTGTGTGTGTCTGTCTGTCTGTCTGTCTGTCTGTATGTATGTATGTATGTATGTATGTATGTTATGTATGTTATGTATGTAATGTATGTATGTATGTATGTACGTATGTACGTATGTACGTATGTACGTATGTACGTATGTACGTATGTAATGTATGTAATGTATGTAATGTATGTAATGTATGTATGTATGTATGTATGTATGTAATGTAATGTAATGTAATGTAATGTAATGATGTAATGTAATGTAATGTAATGTAATGATGTAATGTAATGTAATGTAAGTATGTATGTATGTATGTATGTAATGTATGTAATGTATGTAATGTATGTAATGTATGTAATGTATGTAATGTATGTAATGTATGTAATGTACGTAATGTACGTAATGTACGTAATGTACGTAATGTACGTAATGTACGTAATGTACGTAATGTACGTAATGTACGTAATGTACGTAATGTACGTAATGTACGTAATGTACGTAATGTATGTAATGTATGTAATGTATGTAATGTATGTAATGTATGTAATGTATGTAATGTATGTAATGTATGTAATGGATGTAATGTATGTAATGTATGTAATGTATGTAATGTATGTAATGTATGTAATGTATGTAATGTATGTAATGTATGTAATGTATGTAATGTATGTAATGTATGTAATGTATTTAATGTATGTAATGTATGTAATGTATGTAATGTATGTAATGTATGTAATGTATGTAATGTATGTAATGTATGTAATGTATGTAATGTATGTAATGTATGTAATGTAAGTAATGTATGTAATGTATGTAATGTATGTAATGTATGTAATGTATGTAATGTATGTAATGTATGTAATGTATGTAATGTTTGTAATGTATGTAATGTATGTAATGTTTGTAATGTATGTAATGTATGTAATGTATGTAATGTATGTAATGTATGTAATGTATGTAATGTATGTAATGTATGTAATGTATGTAATGTATGTAATGTATGTAATGTATGTAATGTATGTAATGTATGTAATGTATGAATGTATGTAATGTATGTAATGTATGTAATGTATGTAATGTATGTAATGTATGTAATGTATGAAATGTATGTAATGTATGTAATGTATGTAATGTATGTAATGTATGTAATGTATGTAATGTATGTAATGTATGTAATGTATGTAATGTATGTAATGTATGTAAGGTATGTAATGTATGTAATGTATGTAATGTATGTAATGTATGTAATGTATGTAATGTATGTAATGTATGTAATGTATGTCTGTATGTCTGTCTGTCTGTATGTCTGTATTTCTGTATGTCTGTATGTCTGCAAGTGATGGAGCAGAGGTACCTGCCCAGTCGATGTCACCAAGCACCACGCCTGCCACGTGAAACGAAGGTGGATGTCTCCAAGAGCCACGCCTGCCACGCCAACAGCCGCGGCGTCCCCGCGTTCCACTCCGGCCCAAGCGCGCCACCGGAGCCAGCCCACTGCCATACGTGCCACGCCTGCCACGCAAAAATGGAAGTCGATGTCACCAAGTACCACGCCTGCCACGTGAAACGAAGGTGGATGTCTCCAAGTGCCACGCGTGCACGCCAACAGCCGCGGCGTCCCCGCGTTCCACTCCGGCCCAAGCGCGCCACCGAAGCCAGCCCAATGCCATACGTGCCACGCCTGCCACGCAAAGTGAAGATACATGTCGCCAAGTATCACGCCTGCCACGTGAAACGAAGGTAGATGTCTCCAAGTGCCACGCCTGCCACGCCAACAGCCGCGGCGTCCCCACGTTCCACGCCGGCCCAAGCGCGCCACCGGAGCCAGCCCAATGCCATCCGTGCCACGGCTGCCGCGCAAAAGTGGAAGTCGATGTCACCAAGTACCACGCCTGCCACGTGAAACGAAGGCCACGCCAACAGCCGCGGCGTCCCTGCGTTCCACGCCGGCCCAAGCGCGCCACCGGAGCCAGCCCACTCCATGCGTGCCACGCCTGCCACGCAAAAGTGGAAGTCGATGTCACCAAGTACCACGCCTGCCACGTGAAACGAAGGTGGATGTCTCCAAGTGCCACGCCTGCCACGCCAACAGCCGCGGCGTCCCCGCGGTCCACTCCGGCCCAAGCGCGCCACCGGAGCCAGCCCAATGCCATACGTGCACGAGATGTGTGAAGACAAGGTGTGCGTGAGTTGTGTCTGTGAGGGCAAGTTGTGTGTGGGCAAGTTGTGTGAGGACAAGTTGTGCGATGACAAGATGTGTGTGAGCAAGTTGTGTGACGACAAGATGTGTGAACAAACTGTGTGAGATGTATGAAAACAAGGTGTGCGTGAGTTGTGTCTGTGAGGGCAAGTTGCGTGTGGACAAGTTGTGTGAGGACAAATTGTGTGAGGACAAGTTGTGTGATGACAACATGTGTGTGAGCAAGTTGTGTGATGACAAGATGTGTGATGACAAGATGTGTGATGACAAGATGTGTGAGGACAAGTGGTGTGTGAGTAAGTTGCGTGAGGACAAGTTGTGTGTGAGCAAATTGTGTGTGAACAAACTGTGTGAGATGTGTGAAGACAAGTTGTGCGTGAGCAAGTGGTGTGAGGACAAGTTGTGTGTGGACAAGTTGATGACAAGATGTGTGAAGACAAGTTGTGCGTGAGCAAGTGGTGTGAGGACAAATTGTGTGTGGACAAGTTGTGTGTGGAAGGTGTGGAGGCGGACGACGGGAGGTGGACGGGAGGCGGACGGCGGGATACAGAACCAAAAACAAGAACCCCACACAAAGATGTGGGGAATTAAAAGTCATGATTTTCAAAGTTTTCTTGTATCTTCGTGTCATCTTTCTGTTGTCATTAGAGTCCACTCTTGTCATTTGATTCTTGTCATTCATGATCTGCATGATCAATCTATCGGTTGGTGCTGAAAACCCGAAGATCTTGTGCCTTGGACAATCTTAAACAAGTGAGGTGCGAACGCAGCATGTGAATGTGCTGCGTGCGGTGCATGGTGCATGGTTTTTGTAAGCGAGGATCGCCTAGTGGCAGAATACTGCCTGGCTGAGTAGAACTAGAAGGCGTCTTCGGGGCCCTTCTCTTCACGCGTTCGTTGTCAATTTGCGACAGGGCAAAATGAAAAAAAATGTCCTATATTGATCTATATTGTCCTATGTTGTAATGATCCAGGTGTTTTCTTCGACCACATGTTGATATATTGGGAGTGCTCAGGTTGCATCCTTGTGATCCTAATATAAGATAGAAATCAAATGAAATCAAACCAATCAACAAGAGCAACTTTGGCACTCCCAGATCACTCAGAGTTTCTCAGCCCTCTTGGTGATCCTCACGCAGTTGTTGCGTTGTACAAATTCGCTTTGTAGTTTAGTCTCAAGCCTTGAGCACGAGACGCGTCGAGTGTGGGGCTGATGCCCCTTTGCTTTAAGATCAGTGCTGCCGATATAGCATGACCCAGGGGCAACAGACCGTTTATACATACGTAAAATATACACGCCTGAGCATTATTTTTTGACATGATTTGGCAATATTTAAACGACGTATATTGAATGTTTCCACCAACAGAACCTCTGTTTTGCATTGCTGTCGGCCCTTTGTGCCTGACACTCATGGCGGCAAAAGGACAGAATTCAGAGCTGGTCGACGCCAGACATCAAGTCTGAAGGCCAGGAGATCTTAGTGAGATGGGATACTCCTGTGCCTGTAGGGTCATCGGCCGGTCAGGCCACTGTCACTGGCAGATGCGAATGCCAAGACTGACAGCATTATACGGAATCCCCAAATCCTCAAATCCTTTTTCCTTGCACGTTCGGTGCTTCAGTTGGGAACGTTGCAAGCTGACGGACACCCATGCAGCTAGATAGGATCAGCGTACCTGGTCCTTGAATGAAGGAAAACCTGCGTGACTCTGTTTGCCTCTCATGCTTTAGCCAGCAGACCTGAGCGTCAACATTTTCACGTGTTTGGCGGTCTTTGCTTCACAATGTCTTGGTATTTTCTGGTACTTTCTGAATGTGGTAAGAGCAGTCGTTTGGATTCGTTTGGTGTATTTGGCTGGGCACGCCGAGAGAGGGAAACCTTCTGACTCCTGGAAGAGATAGCTGAGTTTGCAGGGGACATTCATGGCGGAATCGCCCCGCACAGATTTGATTTGCATGACACTGATTCACTGAAGACACAAGATCTTCGGCCTGGCCCTACGCCTGTGCTTGTGAGTGAAATACTCTGGAGTTCTGTTCAATCTTTGTGGATGTGGAGTGGGAAGAAAAGCACATTCAAACACGCTTCCATCCACAAGACTGTAAATAAAGGCGCCCCTGGCCAGAGCTGGCTGTAGACCGCTGTTCGACTTTGTTGAGAGAAGACGACAGATGCGTTCTGAAATGTGCTGAATCTGAATAGACATAACTGACAAGAAAGACATCAATCAAGAAAGATCGTTGGCAAAGATCTTTGCAAGATGGTGCGAAACCACTATGCTGTATTTCCAAGTGCCTGAAAGTGATGCCAGCTCTGCCACTTGCTCTTGGTGTATGTTTACATGTAAGGGAGTCAAGCAGCAGTGGGGAAAAAAGGAGGCTCTTCTCGCATAGTGCACAGGAAGTAGGAACCTGCAATGATCGGTATGTGGTGGGTTTTTGGACTCACACTTCCCTGCCAAATCAGATTTCTGCTCTTGGGTTGAACAAATTCTGCAGAATTCTGCAGTCCCAAGGAAATTCCGTGGGGAATGGCATGGCACATGGCACCGGGATCATGCTTTTTGCTCCAAGGCCCTGCCAGCATTGTGCGATCTGAAAGAAGAGCTGCACAGGAAGGGTGTGCAAAGGGTGCAAAGGGTGCAAAGGGTGCAAAATCTACGCCTCGTGTGCATTCCTTAAAGCAGTTGACAAGATGGTGACGCCTACTGGCCAAATTCAACCCATATTTTTGTTTGTCCGCGAATGACAAGTTAAAACTATTTGAAAGCTTTCACCAAAACAAATTGAACTGACATTGTGACACTGCACTGTCTTGATTTGGCAGGAAACCTTTCGGTCTGGATGGAGCCGGTCTATCCAGGCAGGCTGTGCATGTTGACGCTTGACTTCTTGGACTGTCTGGAGAGCTGTGTTGCACAGGTAACTCCTCCATGCAAATCTGCGCACGCAGCGAGGCATTGCTTGTCGCATCTTGTTGCATCTTATTGCATTTTGTTGCATCTTGTTGCATCTTGTTGCATTTGCTCTGACTAAGGTTTGCAAATGTTTGCATTTGCGAAAGCGGTGATTTCACACATTTCCTCAGAATTGCTCACATTTGCTCACACATCATAGCAAATCATTTCACGCATCATGACTCACAGTGAGAGTTGGAGGCGCTGCAGCTCGTTGCCTGGCTCGAGAGAGCCTCGAGATTCGGTCCAAGGCCGGCACAGCTACCTGGACGATCCTGGACGTACCTCGCAAGAATCGACAATCGACAATCATTGACCAGCCAATTTACAACAAATTTACAGATACGAAGGGTTCAAAAAGGTTCAAAATGGTTCAAATACAAATTATAGAATTGTCTAAACCGTCTATAAAGCAATTTCCAAATCACAAGACTCCAGAGTTCCTAAACCCCAGAGATGTTTCCAGAGATGTTGAATCTGTATGAATCTGTATGAGTCTGTTCTTTGGACTGGCTTACAGCATTCCACTTTGCGTTTCCTGTGAGGCCGGGGTGAGCACCAAGGCACTCCTTGACTCAACGTGTGATGTCACTGATGTCATGGTGTGTGGGAAACAGGAAACGTGATAAACACATGATAAACGTGCTGATGTGGTGAGTTTCAGCAAACTTTTTAAGCTGCTCACGAACTTCATGGAACTTCTCAAGTTTGCGCTGAAGCTTTTGGGGACACTTGAATTCGGTGTACTTCTGCGAAGGATTCTTGCAGCTACCACAATATCAGGAGCAAGCAAATTCAGATTGAGTTGTGTCTGGTGTCACTTCCAATTCATCCATTGCTCAATTGTGATTGGATTGGTTGCATTTTGGTTGATTGATGCTTTTTCATGCTTTCCCGATCTTTCCCTATCTTTCCCTTATTTCACGTCAACTTTCTCTTGCTTCCAGTCCTTCATCGCTGCGATTCGTCTGGAGGATTCGGCAACAAACCTAGCAGATCGCATAACATCTCGGAGCTTGTCAGCAGGTGCTCAGTTTGTTGACAAAATTTGACAAAGATTCAAAAGACTTGAGGAGGTACGCAAGGTACGCCAGGTATGCAAGATGGGACAAAGAAACGCAGTCCTGAATTGCTCAACCCAATATTTAAAGGGGGTGCATCAGAGGTCTGTATTTTCATTTTGATCTTAGATGTGCTTATATCGATGATTTGAGTATATTTTAGTTTTAGTTCCTGAGATTTCTTAAATGTTTTTAACATTTGCAGAGCGGGTTGAAGGCCAGCGAACCACTAGCAGCTCCAGCACTGCAGGCCAGGGGCTTGTGTCGAAGAGACAACTTATTGCTTTCGGTCCAGATATTGATGTAGAGATTTGGCTGTATTTGGAACATTTTGGAACCCAGATGTCCTGGAGAATCCAGGGAGCAATCCAGGTCTGATGGGTCTGATGGGTCTGATGTAGATACATATTCGACCCGCACAGCACATTTCGAATCGACATGAAGCGAATGGAGAAACCGTTGCAGCTGGTAGTCTCCCGTCCTATGACGTTGAGGACGCTGGCGATTTGCGCGAGAACTTCCAGGCTGAAACAAAATGCATCATGAGAAGGTTTTTACCATTTTTTATCGTTAGTTTCTTTAATAACAACATAGTTGAATCATGTTGAATCATAATTGCAGCAATTGCATGCAATTGCTTGTTCACTGAGAATACTTGGAGAATGTCATGCGAGAGGCAGCATCCACTTGCTGTTTGTGAAGTGGAAGCTGCCCTGCAGTGCATACTGCTGACCATACCGAATGATCTGAATTGCTGTTCAAACAGTTCAAACCAAACTGTTCCTGTTCTTTCACCAGGCAAAGAACTGAGCCATGAAGGTTGGCTTGCAAAGCATAGCTCTGGCAAGATTTCTGGCAGGTGCCAGCCGTTTTGTGGTCCAAAAATCATAGTTGCTGACAAAGTCCTTAATCTCAAATTGATTCATGAGCGTAAATATGGGACCACCAATGCCAAGGAACCAGAAGTAAACTTAGCCGCTGTTGAATTCACATGGCATGGTGATCTGATTCAAACAAATCAACCTCTGGGAACTTGAGGTGGCAGCAGCGATACTTCAGGTTGGAAGGTGCGTTCACCTTTTTGTTGTTTACACATCCAACCATAGATAGGGAGAGAGCGGGTCAGAAACAGGGCTTGGAAAAATGTTGAGATCAATGTGAGAGTGACCGAAACTCATGAATCAGAATGAATCAGATACACGGAGAGACACAAAGGGTAGATTCGCAAGGCAAACTCCTCACAGCACCTCACAGAAACTCACGGCATCACCCACCAATCCAGTCAATTGCTCCGTTTGACTTCGATGAGGGAATTGCTGGGTCAAAGGCTAGTCCTGGAAGATTTCACTCTCCAGGATGCTACCTTCGGTACATGCAGACACCCAGCAGCACGGCAAAGAAAACTTTCAATCTCCAGAAAGCGCAGAATCTGACAGCACCTTGGACCAACTTTGGAACATGTTTTGTGAGACACATTTTCTGGAAACTGTAACTGGAGACAATTACTTTCTTCGAGTGATCCCCACCCGCCCCCACCCTGACACTTTTCTGACATAGTTTCTGACATACCACCTGGACATAAGCATGGCATATATATATATAAATAATATACGTAATATATATATATATATTCTGACGGCATTCTATCTGACATTCTTTTTGGCATATACTCTGGCATTCTATCTGACATTTGTTCTGGCATTCTATCTGGCATTCTGCCTGGCATATATTCTGAAATTGTATCCGGCATCTATTCTGACTCTGACGTTCTATCTGGCATCTATCCTGGAGTTCTAGTTGACATTCTATCAGACATTCTATGTGCACTCACAATTGAGGTCCCGCAGTGCCCGCTGAGATCTGGCTCTCGCAGTTGAGGTCCGGCAGTGCCCACTGAGCTCTGGCGCTCGCCGTTGCGGTCCGGCAGTGCCCGCTGAGATCTGGCGCTCGCGGTTGAGGTTCGCCAGCGCCCACTGAGATTTGGAGCTCGTTTTGAGGAGCTGGAGGACGAGAAGGAGAAGGAGAAGGAGGAGGAGGGTTGCATAAAATCTAGAGACCCGCACCTGGCAGGCGGGGAAAAAGTATTGAAAAGTGAAAGCATGTCAAAGCGCTGAAGGCAGTGACTCGCGTTGAATGTTTGACTTGTTCAAAACTGCTCGAGTCGGTTCAAGCCTTTAGAATTGTTCAGTTATAAGGTTGCAGAAGACCAGCCTCGCGAGCTGAATCTGGACTTTGGTTATCGCTCGTGGCGCCTGCGCCGGGCGCTTAGATATGCAACAGTGTAGATAATATTGAAACATATCATACCACAGACCAGATATACCGGACACTGTGTCTATATTTCTACATACACATACATACTTGCAATAACATCCACATGACATGGTTATATACGCACAATACATGCATACCTTTTTCATAGATACACATGGCTAACATTGTTATGTACTTATTTTATCTTATTTTGATATAGCAATGACCTGTGATGCTGCCTGAGGTGCTGCAGATGCGGCGGAGGCCAGGCGCTGGTTGGTGCTTCTGGAGGCAGGACGCCTTACAGCAGGCTGGGACTTCTGGGGTGTGCAGTGCCGTGTCTTCGGATCTCACGACATTTGATGTTTTAGTGCTGCCATGCGGCAGCCTGCGGAGTCACCGAAACAAGGGTCACTCGCGGGGCAGAAAGTCTTTAAATGAGGACTGGCAACATGTCCTTGCCAGCTCTACTGCTGCAGGATCTTTGTGCTAGGTGAGGCTAAGGTTGGAAACTTATACAGATACAGTACATATATCATCATATTGTCATATACCCACACATAGACACAAGCGTATACTTATGATTCAATTACAATATGATATATTATGATGATATAATATGATGAAATCAGCCGTAGACCTTTTTTAGTATCCTCATTCCTCTGCTGGTTAGTGTCTTCCATTGCTTTCCCGTTTGCTGCTTGGACAGGAAACGCTGAGGAAGGGGATGCCAGTGAGAGTGATATGGATGACTCGGCTTCTGTTTGCAGACTCTCAGCTCTCAAACCATGAAACCATGGTACTGTACACTACTATTGAATAACTATTGTTTCAATGTTATGGGATGTTGGGATATATTTGAATAGAGTCAACTTGGTCGTTTGTCCTTTGTGACTGTTTGCTTCTCTGCAAAGCTGGAGTGCTTGTGTCAAACTCGGCAAGTCAAGCGAGGTGTCCCCAGTGGCTCTTCGACTACTGCAGAGTCTTTGCATTCTGCGGAGCCAACGACGCCAAAGTTCGGGATCCGGGATAAAGAGAAAGCTGACAAGGCCCACTGCGCTGATGCTGCGCTTGTGGCAATTTATCTCTGCAGCTACTATTATATATATGTTTTTCTCATTTTTTCTCCCTGTCAATGGCTTGAGGAAATATCCTTCCGATACTAAGCTGCTAGATCATCTTCAGGTTGCGAAACCTGCAAAAAAGGGAAAGTGAGCACAACGTGACTTGCATCCACAGTATAGGCCTTTAAGCTCCCAAACGCTAGACAGTTGCCTTGGAACAGAGCCATTCAGAGCAGGCTCTTTGCGTTCAATTGACATTCGCCTAAAAAGTTCACTGACTACACAAGCAAAGCGCACGCAGAGGCAGCACCCTATGGAACACCTGAGACAGGAAGACAGCAGTGGCAACCTGTAGGGGCAATGCCTTGCCCCCAAAAACGACTCTTCAAGTGTGAAGTAAGAACCCCATTTTATTATTGTTTCCTTCAATTCCAGTGTTTTCACAACACATAGGTGGTGTTCATGTAGATCTTATACCATCTTAATTTACATTTTTTCATGCCTTTCATGGCTCAAGACTGACTCTTAGCTCAGCAGAAAAACATAGCTAGTGCTCTGTGTGCAGGGTCGTATGCGTTTCTAGATCCAGGACCCTAATTTGGGAATTACTACCACAGCGGGTGGGGGTGTGTGCGGTGGGGTTAGAGTGGGAGATGCTGTACGTATATAGTATATTGGTAGTATATTCGTTTATCTTGAAAGTGCAAACACGTGAAGATGTGCAGCCAAAACATGCCAAAGCGGATTAAACATGTGGAGTATATACACACATACAATATATACACTATTAATTATACACTTCTGTCTTTAGATTCTGCACATATTTTATATATTATGTACACACATGATGTGACGCACACACACACACAGAGACACGTTCTAATACTGTAGTGAGCTATATATTTAAGGGCTGCCGCCCCTGCCGCCGACCCCGGAAGAAGTGGCAAGGAAGCAAAGCTGGCAGCTCGACCTTTTTGCTATGTACATCGTTGTGAAATATATTTGATAGGTTTGAATTTTCATGTGTAAATGGGTTTTTCATTTGAGCATGTTAATACTCTGATCTTATGGTTTTATGTGTTCATGGATCTAAGTAACTGTATAATAGTTATATATATACAATATTTTTGGCCCTATTATTATACAGCTAATGTTGCGCCGCACAGGTGCATGGTTGCGCCGCACAGGTGCATGATATTTTATCGAAGTATACGAGGGCGTTGTTTTTTTTGATCCCCCACCTTGTTTGTTTGACCTCCCCCGTGTTTTTTTGACCCCTCATGAACGAAATCCGAAATGAAACTCTAAAGAAACTCTCAAGAAACCCACATGAATGTTTGAAAACCTTGACAAGATTTTCTGATAAGAAATTCACATAACACTCGAAATTAAACGCGAAAGGAAATCGGAAAGAATCCCTAAATGAAACTCTACATGAAACCCGACAGAAACGCAAAAGAAACTCGAAATAAAACCCTAATGAAAGTTTAAACACCGTAGGTGAAACCGAAAGAAACCCGAATGAATTGCTGCCAGAAACCCCTACATGAAACACAAAATGAACCCTAAAGAAATCATAAATTGACCTAAAGAAACCATAAATGAAAGCCTGCAATTCAATGCAATGAAATGCAATGCACTGCAATGCAATGCAATGCAAGGTAATGCAATGCAATGTACTGCAATGCAATGCAATGTAATGGAATGCAATGTAATGCAATGCAATGCAATGTAATGTAATGTAATGTAGTGCAATGCAATGTACTGCACTGCAATGCAATGTGCAATGCAATGAAATGCAATGCAATGTAATCCCATGCAATGTACTGCAATGTAATGCAATGTAAGGCAATGTAATGCAATGCAATGCAATGTAATGCAATGCAATGCAATGTAATGCAATGCAATGCACTGCAATGCAATGTAATGGAATGCAATGTAATGCAATTGACTGCAATGTAATGCAATGTAATGCCAAGCAATGTAATGCAATGCAATGTAATGCAATGCAATGCATTGCAATGAAAAGCAATGAAATGTAATGCAATGCAATGCAATGCAGTGAAATGTAATGCAATGCCATGTAATGCAATGTAATGCCATGCAATGTAATGCAATGCAATGCCCTGCATTGCAATGAAGAGCAACGAAAGGTAATGCAAAGCAATGCAATGAAGTGTAATGCAACGCAATGTAAGGCAATGTAATGCTATGCAATGCAATGTAATGCAATGTAAGGCATTGCAATGTAACGCAATGAAATGTATCGCACCTTGAGGCTCTCGACCTTTTTGCCATGTATATCGTTGTGAAATAAATTTGATAGGTTTGAATTTTCATGTGTAAATGGGTTTTTCATTTGAGTACATGTTAATATTCTGATCCTATGGTTTTATGGGTTCATGGATCTAAGTAACTGTATAATAGTTAGATATATATATATATGTATATATACACGATATTTTTGGCCCTATTATTATACAGCTAGTGTTGCGCCGCACAGGTGCATGGTTGCGCCGCACAGGTGCATGATATTTTATCGAAGTATACGAGGGCGTTGTTTTTTTTGATCCCCCACCTTGTTTGTTTGACCTCCCCCGTGTTTTTTTGACCCCTCATGAACGAAATCCGAAATGAAACTCTAAAGAAACTCTCAAGAAACCCACATGAATGTTTGAAAACCTTGACAAGATTTTCTGATAAGAAATTCACATAACACTCGAAATTAAACCCGAAAGGAAGTCGGAAAGAATCCCTAAATGAAACCCGACATGAAACCCGACAGAAACGCAAAAGAAACTCGAAATAACACCTTTAAGAGATGTAAATCTCCAGAGAATTCCTACATGAAATTGAAATCCTACTTTTTTTGTTTTATTTTTTCCTGTTTGTATCTTAAATGAAAGTTTAAACACCGTAGGTGAAACCGAAAGAAACCCGAATGAATTGCTGCCAGAAACCCCTACATGAAACACAAAATGAACCCGAAAGAAATCATAAATTGACCTAAAGAAACCATAAATGAAAGCCTGCAATTCAATGCAATGCTGATGCAATGCAATGCACAATGCAATGCAATGTAATGCAATGCAATGTACTGCAATGCAATGCAATGGAATGGAATGCAATGTAATGCAATGCAATGCAATGTAGTGCAATGCAATGTACTGCACTGCAATGCAATGTAATGCAATGCAATGAAATGCAATGCAATGCAATGTAATGCCATGCAATGTACTGCAATGCAATGCAATGTAAGGCAATGTAATGCAATGCAATGTAATGCAATGTAATGTACTGCAATGCAATGCAATGTAAGGCAATGTAATGCAATGCAATGTAATGCAATGCAATGTACTGCAATGCAATGTAATGGAATGCAATGTAATGCAATGCAATGTAATGCAATGTAATGCCAAGCAATGTAATGCCAAGCAACGTAATGCAATGCAATGCATTGCAATGAAAAGCAATGAAATGTAATGCAATGCAATGCAATGCAGTGAAATGTAATGCAATGCCATGTAATGCAATGTAATGCCATGCAATGTAATGCAATGCAATGCAATGCCCTGCATTGCAATGAAGAGCAACGAAAGGTAATGCAATGCAATGTAATGAAGTGTAATGCAACGCAATGTAAGGCAATGTAATGCTATGCAATGCAATGTAGTGCAATGCAATGCATTGCAATGTAACGCAACGAAAGGTAATGCAATGCAATGCAATGCAATGTTATGCAATGCAATGAAATGCAATGCAATGTAATGCAATGCAATGCGAGGCAATGTAAGGCAATGTAATGCAATGCAATGCAATGTAATGCCATGCAATGTACTGCAATGCAATGCAATGCAATGTGATGCAATGCAATGAAATGCAATGAAATGCAAGATAGGGATGAGTAGTCTCCTTACGTCCTAAAATCAGAATCTGATTCGGTGAAGGGAAGTTGGCAACATTCATAGAGACAGTGATCCCCAGAATGTGAATCTCTAAAAATCAACTGTTACAAACATTGTATAATCATGTATAATATATTCATACCGATCCCTAATATATTTCTGATGTGACAAATTTATATCTTGGTGATGATTCCTTCCTATGTTTTGACACTAATTGACCCAAAAATCCAAACAAACAATCATTATTGCCGGCTGAAATAGGAGCCAAGCTGCTGTGCTTCGCAAGAGAGGCTACTGAGTATCTCAGTATCCGTCAAAATTATCCCCAAAAAAAGTGATGATCCAAAAATACCACGTTGGTGTGCATTCGCACCTCAATCGTACCCCATTCCTGGTACCATGGCTGCCATTCCAAGGAGCTGTAGGTCGCAGACACCCAAGGCGAGAGAACAACAACTCCAAGGATTCGGCTGTTGTAGCTCCATCCATCCCAATGGATCTAAGATGGTGAAAATATGTGTTGAGATGTTTCACAATGTTTGGTTTGTATATAATCACCACAGATTTCAGATCTCACCCAAGAATTGCCCGTGTCAATAGCCATGTCAATGTCAATCGTGAAAATGACGATAAACGAGACATAGTGACGAGGTTTTGAGACCATTCTCGCTTTCCGCAGTCACGAGACTCGCACGGACGAAGCTCTACAAGAATCTTCCCTTGTGCCTATGCCCGTTTTTATGTTTTAGTGGCTATAGAGCATCATTGCGTTGCATTATTTGTCCACGTCAATTGCAAATACACGAGGTCCAAGCTAAGTGAATAGTTGATGTGGAAAATGTGTGTCTTCAGCACGTACCCATGTGATATTGTACCGCGGAAAATGGTTCCGAAATACCAAAGAATGAGTTGAAGCTACTGTACCATATAAACCCATCTTTTTGGGGCATATCCCCTGAAATCTAGCCCCACATAGGTACCTTCAATCAATCGGTACCTGAAATGGCCATTGAAAGAGTTGGGTGCAAACATCAACCAAGACCACCAAGTCTATGGGCACTTCAATGGGACTTCACCAAGTCTTGTGGAACCAACACTGTTATGATAATTGATCACCGTGACTAAAGATGCATGGGATATATATTTATATAATGCATGAAAATATATGGAAATGTCTATAGACAGATGGAATAATATGACCCAACAAAAAAATTGATTAAAATCAACCATAATGAGATATACTAAGAATATCATCAGGATTCACATCCGCAATTAGAAATTGAATGGTGGTTTGATTGGAGATTTACCTACCAGTTGAGCATTTGTCAAATGGCAGACGTTGCAGCCAGTAAGCGGGCAGCAGGTAGCCAGCAGCAACAACAGCAGCACCATGGTGTTTTCCCGTCTGACACAGCAGGCTGTTGGGTAGCCAGTGTCATGAAACCTGGTATGTCGAGAAGCCTTTGACTTAGCTCCTCTGGTGGGTGTCCGTTTTGAGGAGAGGGCTAGGGCTGTTGGCGATATTTTTGAAGTTGCGACGATTCTGGATGCCACCTTATTACCCTCCGGTAAACATACAAGAAACCTATGGAACATCAGTTTTTTTTAATGGGCAAATCAACTATAAATGGCTATTTTCAATAGCTATGTTGAAGTGCTATGTTGGAGTACTAGAGGGTATATATATATATATCCATTATAGTTGATTTACCTACCAAAAATGGTGTTTGTCCATGGTTATGTTAGTTTACCAGAGGGTATCATGATCCATTCTGTTCCCTTGCTCCAGGAGACTGCAGGTGGCTTGCTGGAGTTTGAGTTGCTGCGGCGACTTCTGGAACAGGCAAGTTCGGGCTACTCGCTGCTGCTGGCTGCTAGCTGCTCGCTGCTGCTGGCTGCTGCAAAAACGTCGGTCCCGGACGGGAAAACACCATGGCACTGAAGGACGGATGGGCCAGGAAACAGTGACCCAAAACTGCGTAACGTGTCGTCTGAAACTGCTCTATGGACAAGGCTAACCCCCGGATGCTGAGTCCTGGCTGCTGACGACTGGCTGCCTGCTCCTGGCTGCTGAAACGACTCTAAAAAGGCTAGCCCCTAATGTGTCGTCTGAAACTGCTCTATAAACAAGGCTAGCCCCCCGATGCTGAGTCCTGGCTGCTGACGACTGGCTGCCTGCTACCTGCTTCTTGACTGCTGGCTGAGATCTGGCTGCTGACGACTGGCTGCCTGCTACCTGCTTCGTGGCTGCTGGCTACTCGCTGCTGCTGGCTGCTAGCTGCTCCTGCCGCTGGCTGCTGCAAAAACGTCGGTCCCGGACGGGAAAACACCATGGCACTGAAGGACGGATGGGCCAGGAAAAAGTGACCAAAAACTGCCTAACGTGTCGTCTGAAACTGCTCTATAAGCAAGGCTAGTCCCCGGATGCTGAGTCCTGGCTGCTTCGTGACTGCTGGCTACTCGCTGCTGCTGGCTGCTAGCTGCTGCTGCCGCTGGCTGCTGCAAAAACGTCGGTCCCGGATGGGAAAACACCATGGCACTGAAGGACGGATGCGCCAGGAAAAAGTGACCAAAAACTGCCTAATGTGTCTGCCTGCTACCTGCTTCTTGACTGCTGGCCCTGCTGGCTGAGATCTGGCTGCTGACGACTGGCTGCCTGCTACCTGCTTCGTGACTGCTGGCTACTCGCTGCTGCTGGCTGCTAGCTGCTCCTGCCGCTGGCTGCTGCAAAAACGCCGGTCCCGGACGGGAAAACACCATGGCACTGAAGGACGGATGGGCCAGGAAAAAGTGACCAAAAACTGCCTAACGTGTCGTCTGAAACTGCTCTATAAGCAAGGCTAGTCCCCGGATGCTGAGTCCTGGCTGCTTCGTGACTGCTGGCTACTCGCTGCTGCTGGCTGCTAGCTGCTGCTGCCGCTGGCTGCTGCAAAAACGTCGGTCCCGGACGGGAAAACACCATGGCACTGAAGGACGGATGGGCCAGGAAAAAGTGACCAAAAACTGCCTAATGTGTCGTCTGAAACTGCTCTATAAACAAGGCTAGCCCCCCGATGCTGAGTCCTGGCTGCTGACGACTGGCTGCCTGCTACCTGCTTCTTGACTGCTGGCCCTGCTGGCTGAGATCTGGCTGCTGACGACTGCTGGCTACACGCTGCTGCTGGCTGCTAGCTGCTCCTGCCGCTGGCTGCTGCAAAAACGTAGGTCCCGGACGGGAAAACACCATGGCACTGAAGGACGGATGGGCCAGGAAAAAGTGACCCAAAACTGCCTAACGTGTCGTCTGAAACTGCTCTAGAAACAAGGCTAGCCTCCGGATGCTCAAAAAAACGTAGGTCCCGGACGGGAAACCACCATGGCACTGAAGGAAAACACCATGGCGCTGAAGGACGGATGGGCCAGGAAAAAGTGACCCAAAACTGCCTAACGTGTCGTCTGAAACTGCTCGGGAAAACACCATGGCACTGAAGGACAGATGAGCCAGGACCAAGTGACCAAAAAACTGCCTAACGTGTCGTCGGATGCTGCAAAAACGTAGGTCCCGGACGGGAAAACACCATGGCACTGAAGGACGGATGGGCCAGGAAAAAGTGACCCAAAACTGCCTAACGTGTTGTCTGAAACTGCTCTATAAACAAGGCTGAAACAGCGCCAAAATCGAGCCCAAAAACTCCCTAACGTCCTTTCTGAAACCCTAGTACTAGTAGTAGTAGTAGTAGTAGTAGCAGTAGTAGTAGTAGTAGTAGTAGCCTGCTACCTGCTTCGTGACTGCTGGCTACTCGCTGCTGCTGGCTGCTAGCTGCTCGCTGCTGCTGGCTGCTGCAAAAACGTAGGTCCCGGACGGGAAAACACCATGGCACTGAAGGACGAATTGGCCAGGAAAAAGTGACCAAAAACTGCCTAATGTGTCGTCTGAAACTGCTCTATAAACAAGGCTAGCCCCCGGATGCTGAGTCCTGGCTGCTGACGACTGGCTGCCTGCTACCTGCTTCTTGACTGCTGGCCCTGCTGGCTACTCGCTGCTGCTGGCTGCTACCTAGAGAATCCTGGCTGCTGCAAAAACGTCGGTCCCGGACGGGAAAACACCATGGCACTGAAGGACGGATGGGCCAGGAAAAAGTTACCAAAAACTGCCTAACGTGTCGTCTGAAACTGCTCTATAAACAAGGCTAGCCCCCGGATGCTGAGTCCTGGCTGCTGACGACTGGCTGCCTGCTACCTGCTTCGTAACTGCTGGCTACTCGCTGCTGCTGGCTGCTAGCTGCTCCTGCCGTTGGCTGCTGCAAAAACGTCGGTCCCGGACGGGAAAACACCATGGCACTGAAGGACGGATGGGCCAGGAAAAAGTGACCAAAAACTGCCTAATGTGTCGTCTGAAACTGCTCTATAAACAAGGCTAGCCCCCCGATGCTGAGTCCTGGCTGCTGACGACTGGCTGCCTGCTACCTGCTTCTTGACTGCTGGCCCTGCTGGCTGAGATCTGGCTGCTGACGACTGGCTGCCTGCTACCTGCTTCGTGACTGCTGGCTACTCGCTGCTGCTGGCTGCTAGCTGCTCCTGCCGCTGGCTGCTGCAAAAACGTCGGTCCCGGACGGGCAAACACCATGGCACTGAAGGACGGATGGGCCAGGAAAAAGTGACCAAAAACTGCCTAACGTGTCGTCTGAAACTGCTCTATAAACAAGGCTAGCCTCGAGGATGCGGCCTCGAACGAACAAATCAGGGCGGGAAGGGCAACCCAAGGAGCCCCACGTACCTCGAGGAGACTCCGGGAAGGACCCCCCACCGGTAAAACAAAAACCCCGGAGTCAATGAATCGACGTACGTGACCGGTGGGAGGGGGACCCAACAGGGTCCCCCGGCAAAGGGTCATTGTCATTGTTGTTGTTGTTGTTGTTCTTGTTGTTGTTGTTGTTGTTGTTGTTGTTGTTGTTGTTGTTGTTGTTGTTGTTGGCCTCGAACGAACAAATCAGGGCGGGAAGGGCAACCCAAGGAGCCCCACGTACCTCGAGGAGACTCCGGAAAGGACCCCCCACCGGTAAAACAAAAACCCCGGAGTCAATGAATCGACGTACGTGACCGGTGGGAGGGGGACCCAACAGGGTCCCCCGGCAAAGGGTCATTGTCATTGTTGTTGTTGTTGTTGTTAAGTATTGCTGCCTGCTGCTGCCTGGTAGTAAAAGTAGCAGTGCAGCGCCTCTTCTTCCCTTACGCGCTCCCCCTTGCATCGGCCGGGGTCAGCGAATTATTATTATTCTTTCCTGGCAGCTGTGTCATAAACTCTTTTTCCCTTACGCACTCCCCCTTGCGTCTGCCGGGGTCGGCGGATTATAGCTACTTCACTTTACATTACTTTATATTCTTACTTTACATTACTTGACGTTGCATTGTCTTGCGTTGCATTACTTTACGTTACATTACTCGATGTTAGAATGCACTGTGTTACGTTAACTTAAATGTATTTAAATGTTATATCACGTTACATTGAATTGCATTGCATTGCATTATACTACACACGCACATACACACACACACACTGTACACGTAAACTTGGAAGTTGAGGCTTTCCAACATTCTTGCCAACTTGTACCCATTTGTGCATTTGTACACCATTCTTTCGTTATCATTCATGTATGGGCTTCCACAGCATTCCAAACTTGCAATACCAACTTTTTGTATCTTTTTGTCCTCCTCATCGATCTAAAGCGAGGTTGATTTATTTCACCAGGTGGTGTGGACAGATGTGCGCCATATTGCGCCATTCTGTCAATGCATTGAAGTCTGATGGAAGTCTGAACACGCTTCAGGTCCTGCCGAGTTGGCCAGCTCCAGCCATTGCAGACACCCTGGAGGCCCCTTTTTAAATTTCTTTTTCGCAGACACTTTTGTAATCTTTTGTACGAGTCTTGAACAGATGGGGAGTGCGTCAGTTTGCTAGGTAAATACAGAGGAGCTCGATAGACAGTTCGACTCCTGGTTGCCCTTTGCCAATGAGGACAGACGCAGGGAACAGTCGGGAAGGGGTAACCACTTTGATCCACTTTGTGACTTGCAGTCTCTGCATTGCTGGCTGAGCCCGGCAGGATGTCTCCTTGCAGATCAGCACTCCAAGCACATCCTTTGTTGCTTGCATTGCTTTGAGGACACATGAATGATTGCCTTGCAACAGGCCCCCAGAAAACCAATCGGAGTATTTGCTTCTATTGCCACGTTTGAGAGACGGAAGATTCTGGATCGGCTGTCTGTTTATTGATGCTGAAACGTTATCTCTGAAGCTATAGGCTACATGAAACTGCTTGATATGCACATGGACAAACACACACACACACAGATGGACATCATAAACATTTGCAGGTCAATATTTGTAGATACTGTTCTTTATAATACTATATATATATACTTATATAATTATATATATTATATTTATATAATGTATAAAACCTCTTATGCCGAACCATCACTGTATCTATGTTTGCTGTACATTTGCACCGATCACAGACCCAGCAGAGGTTTGTGACGGCCTCAGCCGTGCTTTGCATGGCCATTGGCTGCGGCTTTGTGAAGTTTGCGCTGCAGCCATGGCTGACGACAAACTACGATTGGAGGCTAGTGATGCTAGCAGCTGCTAGCCGTCTGGTGGAAGTTTTCGTTTTCACCGCAGAGTAACCGAATTTAGACTCATTCTGCTGATGCTCGTAAAATGGTATTAAGACGCAGTCTACTCAATGGTTGAAGTCAGCCAGTCTTCACACTACTTACCATGATACAACTGATAACACGGAAACTGTGGAAGGCGTCTGGCAAACGGCCTGCAGTGGCTGCGGAGCGTGCTGTCACAACGCTTCTGCAAGGACCCTACTTCAGAAGTGGTCAGCCAGGCGAAAAACTAGACAGATCTAGATGGTGTATAGTATAGATGTATAATTTAGTACTATTTAATTTAGTGTATATTTTGTATGAAATACAATCAATATCATTCAATATCATTTCAAATCATTTGATATCAACGAAATGTGATAAGAGGATGAACAGATTGACAGCGAAACCGCTCTTTTTAATCTTGCTGCAGAGTCAGTCCTTCGCCGTACGGACAAAGTACTCGATCCTCTGAAGAGTGAGACTAGGGACTCGCATGATCTTTCTGGCGCAGGACAAAGTGAGTCTCATGCTGCTCGAGAGTCTCTGGAGAATTTTCTTGGTGAGTATTTGCTGCGCATTCTTCGAAGAATGGAGTTGTGGGTGGCGCGGCAACTTGCAAAAACTGTCTGACGTACTGCAAGTTGCACTTTGCTGTCTCGTTGACCCCCTTTTGGTGTTGCAACAGTCCGACCCTGCTGCCTGTACTTGTTCTTTTCTATCTTTTCTGTGCGAGATTGTGACGGCAAGCAAAATGGAGCAACACGGGCCTCGATGGTGTTCATTATGCAATAACAAATTGGCATGTGGGGGAAACCCTTTTTTCTTATTATTCCTCGGATGGGACATAGGGTTGACTTTTCTGGAAAATGAGAGTCTTCTGCCTGAGGAGACAAAAACTCTTGCATAGCCGCTTGGTGGTGTGAACTTCAAAACGAAGGAATGACATGGCCACAAGAAGGCATTCTGGTTCTATGCAGCTTTGCATTCCAGGTATGACCCCTCTGCCGATGAAGTGGCAACCGTGGCCAAATGGTGGCTGTTCCAGGCGCAATTAAAAGTGGCATAAGCCGCATCACAAGCCTAGTAAAAAAATACGTGAAGCACATGCTCCAAGTTGTGAACCTAGCGACAGCTAGCGGCAAGTGGTGCAATATGGTGCCATCACGTCCAGACAAGAACCATGAAGTGCTCAATCAGGGACCTTCAGAGGAAGTGTGTTTTTACCTTTTAAAGGTCTTTTGATGTGCTCAAATCAGAGCAAGGATCTGAAGCCACGCACAGTTCCTCAATGTTTTCTATTGTTTTCTTGTACACAGAGGCTGAACCTGCTCTCCTGCCCTTCTGCCATCGTGCCGAACGTTTTGCAGGACGGCAGCACACCAGGGATCTAGTCGGACTTAGTTGACTTAGATGCAGCAAAGTATGTAAAGCGAAAAGACACTGCAAACACGAAGGCACGCCCCAACAGACGTATATTGTTCAAGGGCTGAATGATACTCGCAAAGTAGAACACATGCACATGGTGGTGATGCTGACCAATCACAAGATCTGAATCCAAGTATTTAGTTGCAAGGCATGAACTGTTGATATTTGCCGACATGTGGTCACGCGTATTAACATCTATGCATGTGTGTGACCGTTGCATTTCTTTCCATTGCTTTCCAGTTGTAGGGGAGAAGTTGGAGCATTCTGAGCAAGCCGTGATTTCAATCGAGAAGCTGCTCTTGCGAGAATGGGAGTCCAGAAGTTGCAGCTTGGCCGTGGTTGTGGATCAAGCAGTGACCTTTCATAGAAAATTATGAACACGCTGTGATGGATAGTGTGTGACACACTATGCACAGATGCAATGTACATTCACCAGGCAATATATACATCACATACATGATCATTTCCGTCTCTATCATAGTCTGTGTATATATATAATATATAATATATAATATATAATATATAATATATAATATATAATCAGGCGCCCAAGCGTCTCACTTAGTTGCAGGGTCCCTGCACGAGGCGCATGGTAGAAGAAAAAACATATAATATATAATATAATATATATATATTTATACACATATATGTATACACACATATATACATATATAATATATATATAATATATATATACACATTATATATATATACATAATATATATAATATAATATATTAATTATATATACGTATATTATGTATCTTCCATGGTTTCCCCTTGGCACTTCTTTGCTTTTGTATTTGGTCTGTGTTGCTTTTCAAACCGAGCGCACTAGACTTGAAGTCCATGATGGCATGGCATAGCTTTCACAGGCGAAGAAGCATCCGGGCTTTGCTCGCACATTTTCGAAGGCCACTATGCCGAGGAAGCAGCTTGTCTTTGACTCATCTGGCAGATCTATGGAAAAAAGTGAAAACGTTTGAGATTTCCCACGCGAAGTCATAGTACAATCGAAGCCAAGATGTGGTTTGTTTCCATTGCAACACAATGCCATACCTCACAACTATTCATCATTACTGTTTGTTCCTATCTATTCCCCTCTTTCTCTACGCCCCAGTCGCCACAGTCGCCGCAGCTTAGGCTGGCAATGTAGACTTGGCACGGCTGCTGCGAAGTTTGCAAGAATCCGCTGATGCCTGGCAAACCTGGCGTAGCCACAGTGCTGCTTGCAACCGGGCCGGGCTTTGCATGGTAGATGGAGATAGGGTTTACATGGGTTTACAAGATTTTACAAGTACCTTGGGGTTTCATGGGTTTTCTATGGTTTCTATGCTTTTCTTGTTTGACTTGTAAAGTCTGTGGAGTCGTAGAGTTTGTATGGCCTGGTCTTCCCTTTCTCATCTCGCATCAATCCAGATCTCTGATCTTTGAGCGTTCGCATGCGTTCGCCTTCTCTTTTTCATGTTATAATATAATTATATAAAACATTTTTTTCATTATTTTCATTCTTTTTCTTTGAATTGCCTTGTTCAACTTGTTACAAGCGTTCAGTCGTCTTGGAGCGTTCACAGGCCGCCTCTGTGCTCATCGCCATGTTGAATGCAGCTCTCCGTTCGCAGCACGCAGCCAGCCGCATGCTGCTTTCGGACCGGGCCGAAGAAAACATAGCAAACCGAAGAAACTTTCGTTTAAGAAAATCATTAAATTCATCAAAATTCCATCTCTGCCTTCGTATTTGAACACCAGCAATCCATAGTTCTGGTACGCCATATTTGCAACTCTTCCAATGAAAGCTTTCATGTGACTGAAATATTGGCCATCAATCAAGCTGGCATGGCCCTGAAGGAAGCAGAAAGACTGAGCCGAACGAGCAGAAGGAGGACCTTCCCAAAGATGATCCAGATGGGGCGACAGGCACTACACGAATTTCAGATCCAAAGCTGAATTCATGGGAGGTCCTGGGAGGTCCTGGGAGGTCCTGGGAGGTTGACTCTTGTGATCTGTGATCTGTTGCGAAGTGTTGACCAGCGACCATTCTCAGTGGTGCCAGAGTTGCTGCTTGTGACCTCTGCAACATTGACTTATGAGACTTTGCTAGTGCCGACCTCAGGAAAGCCGGTGCGTGCAGTGATGGCAAAGGCAAGAGGATCCCAGAAGAGGTTCTTGCAGCTGCAGCTCAGGAGGGTCTGAGGGTCATCGCCACATACCGCCACATACCTCCATGTAGTGAGCTTTCTGCGTAGTTTGTTTTTCAACTCGCATTGTGTGAGAAGCCCTAGTTGAAATGATCTGAGTACCCCTGTCAACTGAAACAGTCTTGGCAGACAGACAAAGACTTGACGTATGCATGTACAAGCCTGTGTATGTAATTTAGAGATGTGCACACATTCCTTCTGCAGTGGTTATTTTTCTACTGGAAGATTCAGGATGCCGTGCAGTTGGCAATCTTCTGCAGCCACACCAGCGATTCTTTGGAGGGCTGGGGATCCACCAAAGAGCTTTGCCGCGACGTTCTTTTGCTGCACATGAAGCCCCAAACGATAGTTTGAATAAATTGAATACAGATCAACAGGTGAGAAGTGAATGCGGTTGCAGCTTGGATGAGTATGCACTATGGACAAGGACATGACCACTGAACCTGTATGTGTGCCACTGTGGAGTTGACTGCGCACAACTTAACTACACGCATATTGGAGTACACCAAAAGGGTAGAACATAGATTGAATATGATTGAATACTTCCCAGTTGCAAGAAAGTGGGTTAAGGTATCCCCGCTGAACTTAAGCATGGAGTTTGTGAAGTTTCTCTTGGCTAAGAATGGCCGATATGGCGGTTTCAGGATGAAAGAAGACTTTATAGGCTCAAAATCCATTTATGTGTCAACATTTTGAAGCAGAAAACAGATGGATCAGAAATTTGACGCTCTCCTTCAGGGAATGAACTTGTCGAGATTGTTGTGCTTTGCAGGTACTTCTTGCATTCGAAAGTGCCTTCCAGACTGAGGCCTGTTGGCCACCTGCTTTGGTTTGTGGCTTCTTTTAGACCCCCTGAGCTGGATGTTCAGACATGCATTCGTGTAGGTTGAAATAGGTTTGGAATGGTTGGACATATTTGGAAGCACCCTGCTTCATTGCTACATTCAAAACCTTATTAGGGATGCTCTCGGGATCACGGAGTCAAAAAGAGCTGCATAGCTCCAGTGCGAATTTAGATGTTTTCCTTTGGGCTCACTTTCGTTGCCATCTTGTTGCCCTCATTCGATGACAATTCAACACAATTTCCAAGCAAGTTGCAGTAAAATCCGAAGACGTTTGGATAGCAAAGTTCAATTAATCCGTTTTTGTTTGGGTTTTCCCTGGATTTTTGCAGTATCACTGCTAAACTGGAACAGGAATGTAGGTGGTTTTGCCAGTTGAAGTGGTACGCTAAGAAACCAGTATGGTAAGGGCCTGTTTGATATGTGGTGGAGAGCTTTGGGAGCTGGAAGTTTCGCACCAGCGATTCGATCATATTTGATCAGTATGGTTTTGTAACTGAATTGCTTGCCCCATGTATGCTTGCCTCTGACTTTCAGGTCTCCTCACTGACCAGGGCCTTGACCACAGTCCATCACCACTACAACCGTCAGTTTCTGAAAGTAGACAGCTTCAGTAGCCTTCTTCGCAAAGATCATAGCGGTGGCACTGGCATTTTGACCTCAGCGACAGCCGCCTGGATTGAGTTTCTTCAAAATTTTACAGGGAACCGCCAGGTGCCCAGCCAGGTGCCCGGGGTGCCTGGCCAGGTGCTTGGGACATTGAGAGAACGAGTCGGTGCTTCCATCGTGGAGTTGCTCGCCTCTGCTTGGGTACAGAACTTTGTGCGAGCACCGCCGCCGCTCTCTGTGTGGGGCACTCGGCTTTTCACCGCTTTCGCCGCAGATGAGGCGGCTCTTACATCGCTGGCACCGGATTCGAAAGAACTGGGGAAGTTCCGGCAGATGGTGGAGACAATGCGTGGCTTTCTGCAAGTCAATGCACAGTCCAGGTGGCAAGAGCTGGGTAAAGCAGAGAATGTCCTGCAGAAGTTATTGGCTGAGGAGCAAGGGAGGGCCTTGACTCATGCCCTTTGGCAGACTGCGACACGTTAGCATGCCAAGCATCAAGTTTAGTCGGCAGTTTGGCCAAGCCATCAATCTAATTCAGTGCACGCAAAGAAGGATCCCGTCATTGCGCTCCTTCCTCTTGCTCGGGAGAGCCTGAAGTCGGTCCAGATCCGAACGGCGGCCAGAGTGCCCCCTGAATGAAACACATTGATCACGTTGTTCGTGGACAAGTCGTGCTTGCTAGTTTCATTCGCGTGATGTCAGTCAGCACTGCGACCCTCTCTTGCTGCCTTGTAAAGCGAACAGGCACACCTGAAGCTTGCACCAAATGACTTCTGCAGTCTAGTTTGTACAATAGCGCCACTGCATTGTCCTTTAATTCATTTTCATTTTTCTTCCCTTTTGTGAAGACAGGAGGGTTTCTGGTTATGAATTGGCCGGGTCTACCCCTGCCAAGATTTGGCATGTGACATACACATGGAAAGTCCTGAAATCCTGAAGTGTCGTCGAAGCATTTTAAGGCCTGTCCATGTCTCTCAGGGCATCATTTTCGAGCTCAAGAGCTCACAAGTATGTTGTACCCCGTAAAAAGATAAAAAGAGCCTCTGCAGATGTTCCAGATGTTCCAAAGTATTCCAAAGTATAAGATGTGGAAAAAGAATGAAAAAGATGAAAAAGCAAGAGGATCAAGAGGCTTCAAAGCTTTAAACTGGTGGCAAAAGCCCAGCCAGTTCAGGCAATCCAACCAGGCGCTCACCAGCAGCAAGCCCGGATGATGACAGAGAATAACTTGCAAACAAAACAAACGTAAAACAATGGTGTGTGTTTATATAAATATAATTATATATATATACATAGTTATATACACTGTAATTATACTATATATAGAATATAATATAGAATAATATATATATAATAATATAATATAATATATAATATCATATATAATATGATATATATAATATAATATATAACATAATATATAATAAAATATATCATATAACATATAATATAAAATAAAATATAATATATAATATAACATATAATATAGTATATAATATAATATATAATATAGTATATAATATAATATATAATATAATATATAATATATATAATATAATATAATAATATATAATATATAATATAATATATAATATAATATAATAATATATAATATAATAATATATAATATAATAATATATAATATAATATAATATATAATATATAATATATAATATATAATATATAATATAATATACAATATAATATATACTATAATATAAATATATATTATGATATATGAATACAATGTATATATGTACATACACGCTGTAGTGTACACACACACACTCAGTCACACAGACACACACAGTCACACAGACACACATAGTCACACAGACACACACACACACATGTATATATACAGTAATGATATATATATATATATACGTATATTATATTATATTATTAGTGTAGTATATATATATATATATTATATGTATATATGTTATATACACATACATATATGTTATATATGTAAAGGTTTATTTTATCCTGCCTACAGGAGTTACAGGAGCCAGTGAGCCGGCTTAGAGGAGTCGTTCCAAGTCTTGTGATCGTTCGTCTCAGTCTGGTCAGACCGGTCAGCTTGCATCATGCTTGGACTTGTACACCACCTGTGGTTTTGCAATTGGCCCTGGCTTTGCCAGCGTCAACATGTGGTAAAGATGGAGCATGACATGGGTGATGCCACAGCCAGTTGGCTTTGTTGGCAATCGATGGTGTGGAAAAACACTCTCTGGTCAGCAATTCTGATGTTTTAAATGCAGCATATGTGGTGCAACTGTCCTAACTGTCCATGTCCCAAGAAGCGACATCTCAAAGACTCATAAGACTCATGCAACTGAACTGACAAGTTCCGAGGCAAAGCGCCTCTGCTGACCATTTTTCACAGCTTAGAAGCGGCTTCTTCATACAACACCTTGGCACCTGGATACCTTGCAAGGAACATCTGCGCACTCTGTAACATACTATAACAATCTGATTAATCTACAGGAACCTTTCTCTCCTGCCATGGCTTATGCTGGCGTGATGCCGTTGCCTGGTGCTGTTGATGACTCTCCTGTGCCTGGTGATTCAGGAACGCTGCGGAAGTTGTGCAGATGCAGAAGTGCCGTGTTCATTCAGATTTGTGATTCGATTTGTGCTTTGACTCTGACTCAGACACTATATTGGACTATGTTGGTTTGTTGGAACTGTTGGGGTCAATAGGGTGCTAGTCTTGCATTCTGCCTTGCACTGCTTGCCGTGAGACCTTGAAATGGGGCTTGAACGTGCGTCGCAGCGCAAGAAGCCACAGCGCAATGTTGTACTGACCATTGAGCAGAAGGCGGGTGCAGTTTGGAAAGCGTTGTGGGGTGTAAAACCATTCATGATTTGAGAATATTTGAGATGATTTAAGAATTTCAGATCTGCAAAAGAAACAATCGGCATCAATCGGCCGCAAGAGCCGATCAGAATCGATCAACTCTTCAGGAGAAGCTTCAAGAATGGCAGCAACTGGCCGAGCATGGCTTTGAGATTCACCGCCGCGCAGAACGTTACTATGTGTCTATGGTGCAGTTGGGGCCAGCTAGGGTCAATATAGTTAATGTGTCAATGTAGCCCAAAGTCTTCCCTTTTCGAAGTCACGCATTTAAAGTGGCCACAGGAGAGCTGTTCCGCTCAGGAGCAAGTCAATTTTTGGACGCTTTCTTTGCCATCTGCAGGGACCTAAGTAGGGAGCGATGATTGGGTACCACAGTGGACGGGTGGTTGGAATGCTCTTGAGGAGGAAAAGCAAAACAGAGTAAATACCATTCTCAGGCATTTGAAGTCAGGAACTTATTTTCAACGCTCCTCAAATGATTCAAATTACAGATGCTCCCTCCAGAACTAAGGACACGATACCATTCAGAAGTGCTTCTAAGTGCATAGTTGTAGGAGAGCGTGAAATGTGTCAAGACCTTGAATGTTTGTGTTTGGTCTCAATCAACCCCAATATATGACCCCTATGTCAATGTGGAGGTCGTCCTCTCTGCAATTGCGACGGTATGGACACTGGCAACCGAACAGACCAGCTTTCCGAACAACAGGGTCTACATAGCCTCAATCTCAGGCAAGGTGGAATGCGAAAGAGCTTTTGATTGCAAGCGTCGAAGCACACCAGATGGTGCACAACAATTTCGGACTCTGCAACGATTAATATGCCCGAGCTAGAATGTTGTTGCATGTCTTCCATAATATGACAACCATTCACCTCGCCACCACGACTTCCTCTTCTGGAAATGTCTTGGCAGATTTTTGTAGAGAAGCCATGTAATATACAGTAGTTAATTTGACACGCCTGTGTGCGGCCTGTGTATGGTCTGTGCCAACATGCATAGTGGCTGACAGGTTTGACCACTATTGTCAGTTCTGTGGGTTCCTACTGGCGCTGGCAAGCCCGCATGGAGAAGCCTCTTGACTTCAAGATCTTCAAGGGCACTAACCTGAAGAGCAAAAGGGAATGAATGCATAGCCGGCAATCGTTTAGGTGCAGTAAACGTGTGGCACTTTTGGTTTGGGATTGCAGCTTGTCCAAGAGTGAAATGCACGACAGAGCTGGAAGACTTGCCTCGAGAGATGTTTGAAAGTCTTTGAAATGATTTCAGACTTGGGATGACTTGGCGACTTGATGATTCCTGGTAGAAGACGTGTTCGCAACAAAAGTAGACTTTATAGCAAAGGAGAGTGGATGTAGCTCCTTTCAGTGCAAAGGAGGCAAGGTCTAGGAGTCTAGGATGGAAACGGAAACTAGCTAGACTACTTTGGTAGACTTTAGGGTTTGAATATTTGGAATTTGGAACTCGGGAAGGCTAAGCAAATTCAACTACAATGTCCGAGACAAGTTTCAGATGTTTGATGAATTTTGCAACGAAGACCCAATATATTTAAAAGTGTGAGTTGCATGCTGCAATTGCTGGCAGATGCAACCCAGGAATCGCTTTGCGTCTGAGCGTTACAACAGCCCCTTGGTAGATTCAGAGCAAAAGGGCGAAGAAATAAAGATGAGATTGATTCTCCGTTTTTTTTTGGCAGTCAGTTCCTCATGGAGAGCTTTGATCTTCTTGACCCTTGAATATCAACGCTTGCTCATGTTTGCTCTACCTGGCCTCTTATTTTGCACCTTTCACCTTGCACACCCTGGCAATTTTCTCTGCTCATGGTTGCTTATTTTAGGCCTTTTGAACCGACTGACGCTGCTGAAAGCGCGATTGCAGATGGGAGACGTTGACTTCAGTCATGTGCTTCAGGACAGACACAGGCTGTTGGATGCTGAAGGATCTGACGGTATTTATCGTTTGGCTCGTTTGGCTTTTGGTTTCTTTTCAACAGCTGGATTCAAGTCAGTCGTCTTGTTGCACACCCGAAAGCCCGAAAGGAAGTGGAAAATACAATCCATGAGATTCTCAAGACTTGTGGGCCTCCAGATCTTCGCATACAGCAGCGTTTTGAGATGCTCATCCGCAGATTAGCGTGGCAAAGTCCCTTCAGCCATGAACACGATTGAATGTGCTTTGAGCTTCTATGTACTTTGAATTGCTTTGATATCTTGGAATATCTTGGATGCTCTGGCATCAAGTATCCTCTTCGCATCTTTTTGCATTAAAGCACACAACCTGCCTTCTCTTCAAGCATGGAAGCTTTGCGAACATGGACAAAAGATCTTCTTTGACTTCTCAAACGCAGTTGATGGATTCAGCCCTCATTCTTCTCCAGCATGCAATGCCTCCAAGATGAACTACACTGAAACCCACCTCTTTTTCTGGGTGCATTCGATGAATGACCAAACTTGAGGTGGGAAGAGAAGACTTCGCAGTTTGAGCTGTTGGATCGACTGACAACTCTGAGGGATTCCCACGAATGTCCCTGGATCCGCTTTTGTTGTCCGTGCTGCTGGCGGAGTTGCATGAAGGTGTGCCCCTGTTGCAAAAGGCCCCGTGGTGGGAACATGTGAGAACGCTCTACGGATGTTTACGGCATGGCTTACTCGCTTCAAAGATCTTCAAAGCAGATGTTGCTTTCCAAGTGGAAGTTTGGGGGTCTCTCACCAATGTCATCGTTTGAAGCTTTGTTTCTGTACTCTGTCTTGGAATAAGCATGCGCACACACACACACACGAATCCACCTCTGCTGATTGCATAAACACTGAAAATTGATCCACTGCTTTGACCAGGAGAAAAGACAGCGACGGGGTCCATGTCTTAAATGCGCTTTGGAAGTTTCTAGGGCACAGTGAGATATCATTCTCAGATACGATACGTCACTTCGGAATTATGTCCGTTTGCCACAAAGATCAGTCTGAATCTAGACACGCAGTGACTTAGTACATCTTAGTACACATGACTTGAGGCCGTACAGCCCATGACCATCCTGAACCAGAAGATTCGGGAATTTTCCAAAAAGACCCAAGATGTCAGTGTAGACGAGTTCAAAGACTACTTTTGGCAGCTCTTTCGAATGGCCAGCAACAGCAACAATTTGGAAATGTGCAAATCGCTGATCAAAGCAGTACCGAACTCATTGACCGATGATGCCGATGTGAAATTCAAGTCCGTGGAGCCTTCGAAGAAGTCTCCCTTACATTTTTCAGTCCAAGACAATTTTCACCAGCTGGGCCAGTGGCTCTTTGAAACCTATCCAAAGCAAATCAGACGCCATTGCTTAGTCCTGGATTGCCATAGCAAGATCCCTTTAGATTACATGCCCACGGAGAAAAACGAGTGGATGCGGTGGAATGCGGTGAATTCTCGTGAAGGAGGCGGAATTCCCTGGGTGCCTGTAATGTGATGCTTGAAAGGGCTGAGTTTTGGTCGTGACAGGGTCTGTTAGGGCGGGCCAAGTTCCCAAACAAGATTGATGGTAAATTAAGATTGCATGTTTTCCATCGGGATGATCATTTGTTTGTGCTCATTCAGATGGGACAATCCATGACAATCCCATTCTTGGATATTCTTGGTATTTCTTGGTATTTCTTGCTGGACCTTTGAATCCTTTTGTGTTTTGCTATGCTTGGGCGGGTCTGATTTTCGAGGTCAGTCAGCTCTGGAGGGTGGACAGGTCATGCAGGTCACCAGGTAGAGTTGTTGCAGTTGCAGACCGATTCGATTCACAGATCTGATAGGTGGAGCTGCTGCATTCTACACTCGGCTCCTGTTTGAGACCATTCAACAATGGTGTTTCTTGGACCATCTTGGACCATCTTGGACCGACTTCGCTGACTTCGCTTTGTTCAGGGAAGAGATGTGTGTTCCGCAGGTCTTTGGCATGTATCATATAGTATCACCTATCTTGCTTGAACCTTTTCAAGGTATAGAAATGAGCGACTTGCGCAGCTTTGAAGACAAAGAGAGGATGAAGGGCCACGGAAAGGAACTCTGCCGTCGCATTAAACTCTTCAGCGAAAGGCCTGAGATGACAATGGGATGGATGGATGGTGGACAGCTTGTTGATTAATTAACGCCTTTCAACAAGCCTTTGCTTGGAAAAGAGCCACTGAGCCACTTCTTTGCTTTGATTCTTCGCTTGTGTCATGCTTGTATCCCGCCATATCCCGCCCCTTCCCTGCCACCATTTTTCCGCTCTGAATCCTTATTATATGCTGTGATCTTTTCGTCACTACAATTATTTTTGGATTTTCATTTTTTTCAAATCTTAGTTTTTTTGACTATGAGGGATCAGAAAGCTTTGATATGCTCTGATGATATTTGTACAGACGTCCAACGTTTCGATGGTCAGGCATGCAGCTGCCCATGTGGATATAGCCTGTCCCAAGCGCCACACTGTGCTTCATCTCTTGGCTGTGCATGGAGTGGAGGAGAGGGATGGAGAGGTTGGACGTTTGGAGTGCAAAGATGTGCAAAGTATGGTAGAGGGAAGGGGACATCATGGGACATCATGGGACATCATGGGACATCATGGGACATCACGACATACAGTGACAACGTGATTCTGGATTACGCTTGATAGATCTCGATAGGTCACGATAGGTCTAGCGTGCCAGGAACAGGAGCCTCTTCAGCTCGGGTCTGATCGTGATTCTGAACATCATGGTGAACGCTCACAGCGCGAATTAGATCAAATTAGCATGCAGCATCGCTGGTTTTTCTCTTCTCCAGGTTCTGAGTCTCAGAGTTTTTGAGTGGGCCACAGATGGTCAGAGAATTGCTTAGCAAATTGCTTGCCATTTTCTGCCTTCAGCAGTCTTTTGGTCGCCACCCACCAAGGCACACTCTTGAGTTTGCTCATTCATGCGGACACGGGCTTTGGATCCGACACGATTGACACAAAGGATAGTGCTGAGCACAAGGCCAGGGGATGCCACGGGCATGTCCCTCTCTCTTTCAGAGAGTGCTCAATGTGCTCATCGCCAATCATTGTCATGCAGACATGCTTAGATTACACAGCATTCGCTCATTCTGCTTTTGACAAAGTTTGACATTTTCCTCACAGATTTCAACGCCCAGACTGACATCCAAGGCTCCATTGGAGCTGGCGGCAGAGCAGCGGCACGCGCGAGCATTCAAGATGCCGCTCATCGAAGAATAACACGAATAGCACAGATTTATGCTTGTGCCTAGCTTCATTGAAGATATAAGATATGATAAGATCATCCAAGACTCTAGACTGTTAATTTTAATCCTTGATGAAAAAGGCATTGACACTTTGCAAGGCTTTTGGAATTGATGCTGATGGAGATGCATGAACTGGAAGTCTACAAAGATCAAGACAGCAAAAAGGCCTGTGGCTGCGGTTGCAAATCAACAGCCTGGATGACCTTGACATACCTTGACGTTTCGGTACAACACCCTTAGTATGTCGATGTACGTCGAACATGTTGAACTGCCTTGGCATGACCTGGCTAGTCACGACAGTCGCAAGGCGGACCGCGCCAAAAACCTGAAAGATGTGGTGGAAAAATCGCTGATCCAGGCGGGAAGAATGCGCCAGGATGAACAGGAAACGGATTGAACATGATTGAACAACCTGTGCAACAAGCCATGGAACTAGCTGAACAGTGAGGAACCCAGTGGAAATTATGTATGGCAACAATGCCTCACAAGTCCCCTGTTTTGCAGACAGTCTTGACATGCTTCGAACTCTTTATCACTTTCGCGCACTTGCTTCACTTGTTTCGTCTTACACTTCCGGAATTTAGGGGTCCTTCTCCTTGAGCTTCCCTTTCAAGCTTTCTTGTGAGTGTCGAGGGCAGAACATTATTAAAAATACCAGTACAGAACAATCTGAAACAATGCAGAATAGCGAAATATCATTTACAATTTAATGCACAACATGATATAACATGGCTAAAAGAGACTGAACGATACTGAAGGGTTTGACCACTGCACTGCGCCGCGCAGCTGCACAAGTGGCCGAGCTTGAGCAATCAACAGAAAAGAGACAAGGACGTATGTGACAAATGTGCACTTGCAGTTGAAGAAACTCCAACAAAAGAGAGGCGCACTATACTTTCTGAGGGGCATGATATAAGATATGATGATCCAAGCTGTGGCAAAGTTGTGGCAAACAGGTGCTCTTGCCATGTGTCTGTCATTTGTTTGTCATTGTGTCGTTGTCACTTGCGAGGACTGTTGCTCATGCACCTTACCTGCACAGCAAGGATTTACAGTGTTGTATGCACATAGGTTCTACGAGTGGCGCTTGCAGATGTTTGACGATTGTGAGTCTTCATCTGTGAAACAAGGTAATTAAAGCACATAGGAGGGTGTTCTCAGCGAGCGAAAGTGACAGTTGGTAAAAAGACAACAGCGATCATTTCAGTTGAGAACCCCAAGGTTCGCCGGCTGCACGCTTTGAACGCCTCGAACGCATCAAGCCAATAGAGGCTGAGCGAATGGCAGACTTTGCGCACATGAAGATTCACAGGAGTCAGGACAGGCCGAGCGGCTGGACTGTCGCAAAGTCTAAGATTTCTTTCCACACCCTTGTCATTGTCATTGTCCATATTATGGTCCATATTATGGTCCATATTATGGTCCATATTATGGTCCATATTGCGGCTTGGGGCCGTTGATGTTCAGAGTCCGATGGTCAAAGCTCTTTCAACTGCTTCCTTGTTTTGGCTTTAGGTTTCGTACATGCGTGAAGTGGTTTGAGGACAACGGGGAGAGCTATCGCGGGACGCTTCTGCATTTAGCATGTGGTGCGGAGGACTTGATGCTTGATGGAAACGCAGCAAGACATAAAATATCAATCCTTCTTGGTGTTGCTGTTTCCGAAGCATCCAGATATCCACTAAAGGGCCCTGGGTTCATTTGGGAGCTCACGTTTCTGTTAACAAAATCTGCTCCCATTGTTTCCGAGGTTCCCCAACTCCACATCCTGCCATTGCCTGACATGACAGGAGAATGTGGACGTGCGTCAACCATAGTCACAGGATTTCATATCAGTCTTGTAGGAGTGTCCCCACGGTTGAAGGTCGACACAGTGATCAAAAAGACAACTTTTCACAGCGCCAAAGCGACCCAAACCGCATCAAAACGCCAAGGATCGACATCATGAAATTGACACATCCGAAGCAAGACAGCCTCGCAAAGCTGCTGTTGGAGGCAAATGCTTCCAATAGTCTTGACAATTCTCTGTGCACAGTCGGCACAGCCTCCAAACCAGTGAGCAGAACTCCATTGCGCTGGGCCATTGAAAAAGGACACTGGAGGATCACCTGGGACATTTGTCGCTCAGCAAAACTAGGAGATACATGGAGAATCATGGAGATATACTAGGCATATACTAGGGATACATGAAGATACTACTGTGAAGAAACACGGTAGGTAGAGGCATGCTTGGTGTGTTGTGTCATGCATTAGTTTTTGCCTTAGCGCTTTCACACCGCAGCTCGGACCGAGCAAAGCTTTGCGCAAAATAACCCAATCGCTGCTTTTCGTTTTTGCTGTGTGAGCCCTACGCTGCCTGTGCTCTCCGCATTGGTAGCGGAGCTGGGTGATGCTTTCGAAGCCCCAGCGACCCATGGCAACGGCAGAGCCGAAACGGCCGGCGGCCGGAAAGCGGGCTGCGCCCCGCGGCAAAGAGGCTGCGCCTCAGATGAAGGAGAAGCTCTCCTCAGCGCCCGATACAAAGGTGGGTGAAGATCAACTTCGACGTGGACGAGGCCCTGCTTCAGCTTGCTCTGAGCCTGTCGGAGCAGCCAAGGACGCCAAGGTAGCCGAGAGGTATCCCTACGGAATGCCGCCGTTTGGATACCAGCTGCAACAAGGCCCTGACGGGCGCCCATGGCACACGGATGGAAAGCAGTGGTGGCCTGCAGGTTTTGAGGCGATGATGGCCTCTCAACAATGGTCGACGCCCTACTCCCCTTGGAGCTTTCCGAGTCAGAGGACTGCCTTCAACCCCAAGGAGTTTGAGGAGTACGTCAAGCAGCATGCCACCAGAACGAAGGTGAAGACAGAGACGAAGGACGACAGGCCGAACAAGGATGAGAAGAAAGACAAGAAGGACAAGCCTTCCAAGGATGGGGGTCGTGACAAAAAGAAGAAGCAGAATGATGAAGGACCTCCGGATGATGCCCCCGATTGGGGAGGAGATGATGATGATGGACCAGGCGATGAACCAGATCCGGAGGATGACAGCCAATACACGTATGAAGAAGAAAGCGAAGAAGAAGAAGAGCTGGAGCAAGACCGTTCGGTCGAGGTGACGCCGAGGTCTATGCCTGAGCCAGCACCACCGCCAGCAGGTGCTGGTGCAAGACGCGGGCCGCGACCCAGGCGTCAACAACAGCCGCAGGAGGAGCCACGAGGAACACATCATGTGGGCGGCGCCCCAAGGAGGCGGAGACCTCAGGGATCACATGGTGGTAGCAACCCGCCATCTCTGCCTTCAAGAGGGTCAGCGACCCCAGCCTCGAGCCGGAGGACGGAGACCATCCGGACGGAGTCCGTGCGGCAGCTGCTGCGAGATCGTCCCGATCAGCCAGAAGCTCGTGCCAGAGCCAATCTGGGACAGGTGCGCTTGGAGACCTTCTCAGGTGACCGAGCGCAGTACAGGAACTGGATGAAGACGATTCAAGCGCAGAAGCAGCTGTACCAGATACAGGACAAGGAGCTGGCCGTCTTGCTGTTCCTGTCCTGTACAGGCGAAGCCCGGGAGGTGCTCAACCAGTTGGAAGTTTCGGACATGCAAGAAGAAGGAGGACTTCAAAGGATCCTTCGCTTGCTTGAGGATGCCTATGGCAGCAAAGCAGACGAAAGATTCGAGGAGAAGCAAAGTGCCTTCTTGAACTACCGACGATCAGCTGGACAAAGCATAGCAGCCTACTTGGCGACGCTAAAGCGGCTCCGAAACGAGTATCTCCAGGAAGATACCGGCTCAACCATCAGTGACCGCGCATTCGCGCAGAGAATGCTCACAAGAGCGGCACTGACGCGCCGCGAACGCTACGACTGCTTCTTTGCAGCAGGCGGCGCCTACCGATCTGCCCCTATAGAAAAGGTCTTGAGGTTCAGGTGTGCGAACGTGCACATTGAAGAACGCCCTGAAACTCGACGCCAAGAAGGATACCCAAGGGCATCAAGACCACCACCGAAGAGAAGAACCTTCAAAAGGTCAGATCGCCGCACCCCTCACCGAGCTACCAGGCATGCACATGTGGCTGATGAAGACGATGGCTATGACGAAGACGAGGACTTCGACCAAGCCACCGACGAAGAAGACTTGGAGCAAGAGGCGCTCATGGCCGAGGAGGAGATGCCGGAAGAAGAAGATTGGAGCTACTATGAGGATGACGCCGAGAACGAAGAGGTCGAGGCGGTGGATCAGGCAGCTTTGCAAGAGGCTTTTGCAGCTGGCTGGCGAGCGAAGGACAAGACCGCCCAGGCTCGGCAGAACCGTGGCTATCGAGACAGCGGCAAACCCCAAAAGGGGAGAGGAAAAGGGAAGAGGCCTGACAGCCGCAAGCCGGACGACCGCAAGCGCAACAGCACTTGTGCGTCTTGTGGACAGAAGGGACATTGGCGCGGCGATGCAATTTGTCCCAATGTGCAGTCAGGCAAGGATGCCCCACACCGGAAGGAAAGTTCAACCCACTATACAACAGCATCGGGTTCTGGGAAGGGCAGCGCTCTCCAACCCAAGCGGGGCAGCGCCCCATCGCCTGATCGAGCTGATGACAGGCCTCCCCTGCAGCGCAGGCCAGGCTCAGCGAGCCGTGAAGAAGGCCAAGCTGGTACAACTCCGAAGTGCCCTCCTACACCGCCGCCGAAGAAGAAGGACGAGGTGGACAAGACCCCAATGGAGACTTATGTGACGCCGACACCAAAGGCGAAGCGGGAGAAGCCACCTGCGCCACCTCATCCACCACCAGGACGAGCAAAGGAAGAGATCGAGCGATCCCCCAGTCGAAAGGAGCCAGAGTTGGAGCCGAAGGCTTCCCCAGGAGAAAAACCCAAGAAGAGAAGGAGACGCTCGGCTGGAGATAAAGACAAGGACAAGGATCGCCACAGGAGATCCGCAGGAGAACATCGATCTGACAGGGATCGCACACGCGAGCGGCGCCGCGCGAAGGATGAGGGGGAGGCCACACCGGCCAGCACCCCAAGAGAAGGAGCAGAGGAGGCGTTTGTGTCACAGCCTTCAACAGGCACAACAGCACGCCAATGCAACTGGACCTACATGGTCGGCGGATGGGATGTTATCAAGGACTATGACTCCGATGGATCCAACACGGTTTCATCTCAGGAGCTGGAATCGGAGAGTGACCTGGATGACCTGGTTCGCAAGTACCAGTTCCAGAACACCCCCGCGCCCAAGTCTGCGGCACGACAGAAGCTCAAGGTGAAGTTGATGACAGTTCTCAAGTCCCTCACTGAGGAGGAGCAGGATGAGGAGATCAAACGCAGGCTGCAGAAGAAACAGGATCGCCTGCGAGACAAGATCACTGCGAAGGCGGTGAGATCACAGGCCTCTGGTTCGGAAACTCCAGCCAGGACGAGGCCAAAGCAGGAGACGAGAGACCCAAAGTTAGATGAAGACATGGGTTTGTCGTCGGAGGAATTGCTGAGGATCCTTCCCAACATGTCGAAGGAAGAGAAGAAGATGCTCTACAAGCAGTTGAAGAAGGAGCGAGAGGAGGATGCTCTCAAGCTCTTTGAGAAGGATCCACCAGCCACTGCATCAACAAAACTCAAGAGGCCAGATCGCAGACGAGATGGGTATTCGGCAGCGACCATGCCCACATCTTCCACAGGCCGCAGCCTACGGAAGGATGAGGTTGAAGAACCGCCAGACCAGGAGGAGAAGATCCCAGTTGGCGTCAAGAAGAAGCGCATGGAGAAGTTCCGAAGGCAACTTTATGAAGCAACCCGGAATCGAAAAGGGAAGATTGTCCCTTCAGAAGCTTCGGATCTTCCAAATGCAGACCAGGAGCAATGCTCACATCCCTATGAGCGCTTGCTCTGGGGTGCCAATCTACATGCCCATTGGGCCAACTGCAAGGACTGCAAGCTGAGGAAGGTCTTGTACTACTCAGTCATGCATGGAGCGATGACGTCCGACCAGTGCAGCCACGCTTTGAATCAGGAGCACGAGGCCTACCAGGCGAACGTGCTGGCACCCGGACATGTCATCCTGGACACGGGATGCCGAACGGCTGTGGCAGGACGTAAGTGGCATGAGGCTTTGCAGTCCCTGATGCTCAAGAAAGGTCTCCCCTTCCACAAGACCAACCACGAGGAGGTCTACCGTTTTGGGGCTGGAGCACCAGTCCTCAGCACTGAGGCTTTCTTGTATGCGGTTCAGATCTACGACCACAAGTCTTGGGTGAGGATTGCAGTTGTCGACAACACCCCGGACGACAACAGGGTAGCTGAGTGCCCAGGCCTAGTAGGCCCTGCAGAGCTTGCCCGCTGGAAGGTGCAGATTGACTTCGCCAAGTTGCAGGTTGCAATTCATGGGAAATGGCAACCCACAGTTTTGTCGCCCTCCAGGCACCCAATTCTCAACCTGCTGAACGTTGGCAAGCATCCGAACCCATCTGCATGGGAGACCGGAGATCTCAGAGAGCTGAGGCTGCGCCTCACCAATGATCCGCATTCCTTTGCCCTCCTGCAAGAGGCATTGGATGATCTGAGCTCAGATGACGGCTGCGCCGCCGAGCCAGACCCAACTACGAATGAAGCCGTCCATTGGACGGGTCCCCAATTTGAGATGATGGCCCGCTGGCAGAAGAAATCCGAGTCTGAGACCATCAACTTGCTGGATGTGATGGGAGTGGATTGCTTCAGAGCCACTACCAGCAAGGACGATGACGACACATCAACAGGCTCAATCAGCGAACGTGAAAGCGAGACATCACACGAGGGTGGCTTACCACTCAACAGTTCAGAGGAGGAGACCACCGAGACCGAGGACGACATGACGGACGAGGTGATGATAGCTGGCAGCGCCGGTGACACGGAATATCTTGGAAAGGGCCAGAAGCGAAGACTTTTGGCTGCTGCCAAGAACATCAGTGAAGCCGTCGAGACCGAGCGCAACATCTTCAAGAAGGAGAAGGAGGTCCCTCGAGTACGCCGGCTGCGCACCGGTTACAAGATCCTGGAGATCTTCACGTGGTCATGCATGCTTTCAAGGTTTGCCTATGGATTGGGCTGGGAGTATCTCGAGCCGGTGACCTTGCCGGGTTGGGATCTGACAGATCCAAAGGTGCAGTATGAGGCCCACCAGTACATCGACAGGGTCGATCCTGACTTCATCATGCTGGCATGGCCTTGTGGCCCTTGGTCCCCACTTCAAAGATTGAATCAAAAGACTTGGACCCAGCGAGAAGCTCTCAAACACAAACAGAACACTTCGAAGAAGCTGCTGAAGTTCTCAGCTCAAGTCTCTTTGAAGAGACAACGGAATGGCCGCGCCATCCTGGGTGAAAATCCCCTGCCGAGCCTGGCATGGAAGCAAGAAGACATCATCGATGGCTTTGGAGGCTTGGCAGAGGGCATTTGTGATCAATGCCAATATGGCCTTCGACATCCTGAAAACAAAATGCCCCTGAAAAAGGCCACTCGCTTTGTTGGACAAGAAGAGATAGTGGCCGAGCTCAGGAAGAGGTGCAATGGGGAGCATGAGCATTTCCCTATTGAGGGTTCAGTTCGAACCGAGGAGTATGGCACTATCAGCCTATCTTCCTGGGCTGGAGGATATCCAATTCCTCTGTGTAAAGCCATCATGAGAGGAGCTTTAAGCTTTCTGCATCGGCCGGCTGCGCCGGGAAAAGAGATCTACGTCTTGGAGGAGTTCGTCGCGGAGGAGTCCTTTCAAGATGGAGCAGAAGGAATCGAAGAAGAGGAGCAACGCATTGCCCAGGAGAACAAGCGCAAGACTGAGGAACTTGAGGAGGACGAACGACGTCCCATACCAAGAGAAGTACAGAAAGCTGTGGAACATGCCCACAGACAACTTGGACACCCAAGCAGGGATACGCTAGTCCGGATGCTCCGGGTCTCTGGTGCCACAGATGAGGCAGTACGACATGCGCGGCGGTGGCAGTGCGATGTGTGCCGAGCACAGAAGCCACCTGCCCATCCTTTGGCTACAACACCAACTTTGAGGCCTTACGGTTTTAACCGTAAACTCCACCTGGACATCAAGTTCGTACATGACTCCAGAGAGCGAAAATACCCCTGTCTCTCCATCGTGGACTTGGGAACGGCCTATCATGGAGCTTGCCTTTGCAAAACCAGGCGCTCTGATTATGTGGCACGGAAGTTCCTGATTCACTGGGTGCAGATTTTTGGAGCCCCAGAGCACATTCACCACGATCAAGGGGGCGAATTTGAACTGGCTTTTGTATCGCTTCTGGAGGATATGGCTATCCCAACAACTGTCACTGGATCACATGCACCATGGCAACTATCAGTTGGAGAACGACATGGTGCAATTTTGGGTACAATGGTTTCTGCCATCACTGCAGAACATGCCACTGAGGGATTTACAGCTATGAAATTGGTTCTCTCCTCTGCGGTGGCGGCCAAAAATATGACAGTGACGAGAGATGGATTCACTCCCAATCAACGACTGTTTGGGGCTGAAGTGAAGTTTCCAAGTTTGACAGAGGAAAATGTCAAGCCGAGCTTTGCCGAAGCTCTGGACGCTGAATCAGAATATGCACGTGCTCACAAAATGCGCATCACGGCAAGACTTGCCTTGATCAGAATGGATGTTCAGGAGAAGATGCGCCGTGCAATTCTGAGGAAGCCAGCCCATGAAAATGAAGGCCCATTCGTGCCTGGAACGCAGATCTACTTTTGGACACCGAAGAGGCTTACAAAACGCTATGCTCGAGGTGGCCAATGGCGAGGCCCTGCAACAATCCTTGTCAGGGAGGCCAAGGAGAGGTATTTCGTCAGTTGGCGAGGCCGCGCCCTCCTTCTGGCTGCGCCAAACATCCGGTTGGCCACTCGTGAGGAGCTGGCTCTCAACGAACCAGCCAAAGAGGATGCCGACAGCTTGGGTGAGTTGCTGCGCGACCCCATGCGAGAGAAGGTCTACAAAGACCAGACCCGCTTAGCACCACCCAAGCGGGTGAAGAGGCGCCCTCCTACAGAGGAGAATCCAGAGAGGAAGAGAGCGAGGATGATGCTACGAGGCATAAAATCCATCAGGGAACTTCTGAAGGATCGGTTAGCTGATCTCAGGTCCCAAGTTCGAAAGAGAAGGATGCCCAAGCAAGTTGAGGATCAACCGGCTGCGCCGCAACCCAAGAAAAGAGCAAAAGCTCTGGAAGATGGCAGCGTCCACCCAGATGCGCCTTCCATCCCAGGTCCACCGGCTGCTTTGCCAGGCCCCGGTGATGGAAATGAATCGGATGGATATACAGCTACATCGCCCTACGATGAAGGCGAAGGTCCACCACAGCCACCAACCGATGAGGAATTGCCACACATCCCTTCGGATGATGAAGGCTTGGATGAACCTTCAAGGGTTGAGGCCGAGCCTCCAACTGAGGTGCCCCCACATGAGGTACCAGTACCACCTGATGATGAAGAAGAATGGTTGGAGGAATTCCGAAAACTTTCAGAAGAAGATCGACGCAAGATGGCTTTGGACGACGTCCCGCTCACTCTCAAGAGGAAGCAGGTACCAGTAGATCCTGCTCAGGCGGAAGCTGCCGTCAAGAAGTTGCGAGCTAACTTCTGTGCTCAAGTGGCTGCGACCACGGTCTATGGAAGCTTACAAAATGAATGGGTGTCCCGATACGAGGTGGAGATTCTCAAGCAGCTGACTGGTCTTCCGGTTACAGCTGCCAGGATTCATAGGACACCACGAAAGCGCTTCCAAAAACCCCCGAAGATGGTGAGTCGCTCAAGACTCTCAATTTTGATTGGAAAAGACCCTGCAAACACTTTCATCGTCAACGAGGACGAGGCTGACGTCAAGCAGAACCCACGCCGTCGTGCCAGCTTTCTTTGGAAAGGCATGACGATCTTCTACAAGACTGCCAAGGAGGATGAGAAGGAACCCATCTACATCCAGCTTCCAGATGGTCTATATCGGGCAGACATGACCGCGCAGGATGCCCAGGACTTTGAAGCTCTGTGGACGGAAGAAGTTCGAGATCTTCTCACCACCGAAGCACTGCTGCTGAAGATGAAGCAAGGTGGAAAGGAGTTGGACCCCTCCTACTTTGACAAGAAGGAGAAGGCAGCCTTTGATGCGGCTGACGTCAAAGAATGGTCTGAGTGGATCAAGAATGGAGTGATTGAAAGAGTCAGCCCAGCTGAAGCTGCAAGGATTCCAAAAGCCTCCATCTTTCGAGCCCCACTCAGGATGCTCAGGGTCAACAAACAGACCAACCAACTTTTGCCATTGGTGGCGAAATCACGACTTATTGTGCCAGGTCATTTGGACCCGCAGTTGGGAGAATTTCGAACTGACTCCCCAACGTGTCCTCAAGCAGCTGTACGTGCAGCCAAGAGCGTGGCAGCAGCCCGCGGCTGGGGTGGCACTATCTTCGATGTTACAACAGCTTTTCTCAGTGGAAAACATCTACAACGCCAAGTTTATATCCGAGCTCCACGAGAAGGTTTGCCCCCTGCCGAAGGATGGACGGCAGTTGAACCAGGTGAGCTCCTACGCATTCTCAAGAGTGCGTACGGATTGACGGAAAGCCCAAGGCTTTGGTACCTTGAGGCCCTCGACAGGATCAAGAAGACCGAACTACAGGAGTTGGAAATGTCGAGGTCAACCTTCGCGGCAGGAGGTGGAAACAGTGGCAGCGCCACCTATGCAATCCTGTGCCTCCATGTGGATGACGGATTACTTTTGGGAGATTTACAGGACAAGCGAGTCCAGAATCTCAAGAGGCAGATAGATGGAATGTTCAAGATCAAAGCTTGGAAGAACCTATCTGCCAAAGAACCCGTACAGTTTCTTGGAGTGGATGTAACTATGGACTCAAACGGCATCCACGACGACATGAAGCAGTACATCAACCAGATCAAGGTGGAGCTCTTACAAGGATCGGGACCACTGAACCCAAGAGAGCTGACGCTCTACCGCCAGCTTATCATGCGTCTGAGGTGGCCTGCTCAACAGGCGATGCCGCACATGCTCTACGAGGTATCTGCCCTGGCACAACGAGTGAGCCGCGCTCAGCACAGTGATTACAAAGAGGCCGTGAAGCTACACGGCAAATTCAAAGAGGAAGCTTCCCAGGGCCGCGCCCGGCTGACGTATCCGAAGATCGAGGAGAAAGAGAAGATGTTTTACATCAGCTTCTTCGACGCCTCGGTCGGGAAAGAAGAAGATGGAAAATCCCAGTTGGGATCGATCCACTTCCTCACCACGGAGAAGGCCCGCACAGGCCCAGCTTTGGCATCGGTGGTGGAATTTTCCACCAACAAGAGCTCAAGAGTCCTGAGGAGCTCTATGTCAGCTGAAAGCTGCAGTATGTCCATCTGCGTGGACCGCCATCTGTATGGCCGCCTGGTTCTAGACCGCTTGCTCTATGGCAACAGGCCTTTGGACGCAGATTGGCGAGTGACTATGGGCTTGGACGGCGGAGTGGTTACGGATGCAAAAAGCCTTTTCGATCATCTCAACACCACGGGCCAACTTCCGACTGAACGCCAAACGATGTTGGATTTGCTTGTGGCCCGACACCACTTGGAAGCCGGAGCGTACATGTTGTTTTGGGTTCCTACCCATCGTCAACACGCGGACGGCCTCACCAAGAAGATGGTCAACTTGCTTTGGCAGGCGTTTTGCAAGGTGCCAAAGATCTCACTGAAGGAGACTCCCGAGGAGAAATCTCTGGAAGATCATCGGCGCCGATTACGCCAAGGCCAGCGGCAGCGCCGCAAGCTGAAAATGAAGGGCCGCGCCCTACCACCGGCTGCGCCGGGCATTAATTCGAACACACCAACACGTTTCCCTTCCGATGTGAAGAAACACGGTAGGTAGAGGCATGCTTGGTGTGTTGTGTCATGCATTAGTTTTTGCCTTAGCGCTTTCACACCGCAGCTCGGACCGAGCAAAGCTTTGCGCAAAATAACCCAATCGCTGCTTTTCGTTTTTGCTGTGTGAGCCCTACGCTGCCTGTGCTCTCCGCAACTACAAGATTGTGAATTCAAAGATTGTGAGAAGTGTGGCTCAGTGAATGTGGAGCATGACCTCGCGCCTGACTCTATATACTCGATATTGCAATCCTTTCGCTACTTCAAGTTGTTTCAGCCCTGTTCTACATCCTGCTTGCCTCTCCACTCGTTTGGCGGTTGGACTCCCTGCCACACATCCCTTTTAGATCAACCTCTTGTATTTTATCGAAGGAAGTTTAGAAGTCAAACTTCCAACAATATGGACAGATGGAAAAGCAGAGGTGGGAAGAGTATGTTTTCCTTCTGAAATGTGACACCACCCATATAATATATATATACTTATATATATATATATATACATACCCGCAGGCCGCCTGGTTCGCCGTCGCTCGACATGCATCTTTGTTGTGTTCGGGGGGGGGTTTGGGCGGGGTGGGGTGGGGGGGGGGTTGTAATAACGTCTTTGGCTGTAATGTTACGTTATCGCTTTGTTTTCAGGGTGGAAATGCTGCGTTATTGCGCAGTTTTCAGGGTGGAGATGCTACGTTATCGCTTTGTTTTCAGGGTGGAGATGCTACGTTATCGCTTTGTTTTCAGGGTGGAGATGCTACGTTATCGCTTTGTTTTCAGGGTGGAGATGCTACGTTATCGCTTTGTTTTCAGGGTGGAGATGCTACGTTACCGCTTTGTGTTCAGGGTGGCCATGCTACGTTATCGCTTTGTTTTCAGGGTGGAAATGCTACGTTATCGCTTTGTTATCAGGGTGGAGATGCTACGTGATCGCTTTGTTTTCAGGGTGGAAATGCTACGTTATCGCTTTGTTTTCAGGGTGGAAATGCTACGTTATCGCTTTGATTTCTGGGTGGAGATGCTACGTTATCGCTTTGTTTTCAGGGTGGAGATGCTACGTGATCGCTTTCTGTTCAGGGTGGCAATGCTACGTTATCGCTTTGTGTTCAGGGTGGAAATGCTGCGTTCTCACTTTGTTTTCAGGGTGGAAATGCTACGTTATCGCTTTGTTTTCAGGGTGGAGATGCAGCGTTATTGCTTTGTGTTCAGGGTGTCAATGCTACGTTACCGCTTTATTTTCAGGGTGGAGATGCTACGTTATCGCTTTGTTTTCAGGGTGGAAATGCTACGTTATCGCTTTGTTTTCAGGGTGGAGATGCTACGTTATTGCTTTGTGTTCAGGGTGTCAATGCTACGTTATCGCTTTGTTTTCAGGGTGGAGATGCTACGTTATCGCTTTGTTTTCAGGGTGGCAATGCTACGTTATCACTTTGTTTTCAGGGTGGAAATGCTACGTTATCGCTTTGTTTTCAGGGTGGAAACGCTACGTTATCGCTTTGTTTTCAGGGTGGAGATGCTACGTTATCGCTTTGTTTTCAGGGTGGAAATGCTACGTTATCGCTTTGTTTTCCGGGTGGAAATGCTACGTTATCGCTTCTTTTTCAGGGTGTCCTAAAGAAAATTGCCTTTCCCGCTGACGGCGAACCAGGCGGCCTGGGCGTATATTTAAATATATATATATATATAATTGTATCAAAACCATGATAGACCATGCTAGATGTCCCTCCCACATGCTTCTTCTCCGTTGCAGCAAAGGCAAGTACGGCATCAGCAACCGCATGAAAGACATAGTTGAAGAACCTTGCCAAGCTGTTGAACTCCTGTCACTTGCGGGTCTGTGGAGCCGGTGACAGGTAATGAGTACTAGTAATGAGAAGCTGCGAGTTAATTTTGACAGTGTGCGTGAATCGAGTGCTGGGATGCCTGAGGATATTGAGCAATGCTTGCAAACGCCCGCAGAGGAATTTGGCACTTTCTGGCTTTGTCAAGACTCTACGAAGCAGGCATACGGAGTTTAGTAAAATTGAAAGTGGGTAGGCTGTGTTTTTTTTTGCCAGTGCCATGTAGAAATGCCATGAGGGACCTCGCCCTACAGGCAACTAACGAAGCTTCCTGGATTTTTCAGTTGTGGCTCTACTTTTCGCAACTTGGCTCCATGAGGCCTTGATAAGCTTTGAACCCTTTTCTGGTTGCATCATGTTGCAGTTGAGTGCGAAGGGTTACAACATGTTACAACACTTAAGCTGACAACAGACATTTGATCAGTCATTGGAGTTGCGGCCATAGTCAATCGTATGGAAAGCAAGAAAAGAAGAAACTAGCTGATAACGTAGCGTATTATCAAGTATTATGATGTATTATGAATGTTATGCTACGCAGTTATTCAGCACCTTTGGTCCGCATATAATGTAGTATATATTATATATATAATTTTGGTTTTATGTATTAACTATATCGATATCTATAGCTACATCTACATCTATATCTATTTATATCTATATCTATATCTATATCTATATCTATATCTATATCTATATCTGTCAAAGGGAACACAGCGGTAGCACATGTAACAATTGACAATGTTACGGCCATTATGGCTCAAGCGCCCGCAAGAGGAAAACGGCCGCGCGCTGACTGCAATGCCTGGGTAAGGTTCGGTAACAACCAGCACATAAGGTACTACCATTCGACTACATCCGGAACAAGGATTCATTTGTTCACAGGTTATCAGCCGTAGGGCTCACTTCTCCCGCCGGGAGAGTGGTACCTGCGTGCTGGTAGCCGGGCCTTCTGAGCAATTGATTGAGGACGCAAAGGACCAATCAGCTCATCATCGCAAAGATGCAAGGCGGCAGCGGAGATTCGCGCACCACGCAGTTTACCTTCAATGAGAACACTGCCATGCCGGTCGAGGAGGTCAATCAATCTTCCCCTGGTGACACGGCAGATAGTGGTGGGATACGCTCTACCCGAACTACACAGTCCGGATGGCAAGTCGCGTCAAACAGACGAAGGATATCCACCCAAAGTACACCAAGATCTTCTCGAAACAGTGCTCGAAGTGATGTTGTCCGCCAAGGGCATCGACCATCTCGAGGACGAACTACTCCAAGGGACAGATCCACCAGGGCCGTAACCGACCGAATTGGTGAGAGGACCGGGGATAGTCGTGCTAAGAGGAGATCAACGGATACTTCTGTGGCTAGTGAACCTATTGCCATGATAGAAGAACTACGGGCACAATGTCAATCCCTACGTAATCAGTTGAACCACATGGAAGCATACGCTGCATCTAGAGATCAACTGATTCATGACATCGAGATCAGATTCACTGAATATCTTCAGGAACACAACCAAAATGTATTTGATGAGGTCAATGCACTCAATCATAGATTGTCATGTTCCGCAAATGAGGTTGCAGAATATCAAGCAGAACTAATGGTAGCATCTCAGGAAGACGAAGGTGCAACAATACGCATCCAAGACCTTGAACGCCGAGGTGCCCTAATGGAACATGGTGCACGACGTATCCATCAACGTGGTATGGAGATCCAGGAGGAGTACAAGAATGAAGTACATCACCTCCAAGGACTATTGGGTAATACGGAGGCAAGACTGCAACAACTTCATCAAACCAATGTCTTAACCACCGATATTGCCAATCGACTATACAATGAAGGTCAAGAAATGCAGACAGATTTCCAGAACTCAATCATGGAATATCGTAATCGATCCGAAATGGCATCCTTCTCTAGCAACCAACTCGAAGTGATTAGCCAACAACAATCAATTGCAGTTCATGAATTATCTGAACGGAATCAGCTATTGAGTGAAGCTTTAGTTCAGTCTCGTAAACAGGCCGAGCTGTATGAAAGCAGTATCGACGAGATCACTAGAGAATCCAGGAAGAAGGTTTTCGAGGCAAATCAGGCCAAATTAGAAAGTGATCTGAAGCATCGAAACACTGAACATGATACCGTCAGAAGAATTGCATCATACAGGAACCAAGAGGCCGAAGCAATATCACACCTGAGGCTTGAATCACAGGCTAGTGCAAACTCGATCGCAAGGGCAGAGCACTATGAAGAGCTCTATGCCAACGAGCAGGAGATGAACTGCGAATTAAAGGATGAGATCAAGTTGCAGAACACGAAGTTGCGAAGATCGTTGACTCAGGGTACTACGACCGACGGTCGTGGCCCCGATGAGATGCTTGTTGAAGATCTACGTAATCAAGCCAAAATCGCTCAAATCAGGGTTCAGGACCTAGATCATGAAGTTCATGAATGTTTACAAGAGAACATATTGTTAAAAGAGAGATTGGCTGAAGTTGCGGATGTAGGGGCGTCGTCCCTCACCAACGCTGAGGTCCGAACTCTAAAATCTGAACTAGAGAATGAGCGCAAAAGGAAGTTGGCTAGTGGTGTTCAACAGTATGAGAGATCATGCATGTTCATGGGGGAAATCCAGGATAGGGATGAAAAGATCGGTATCAAGAATTCTGAGATTGTTGACATGAAACGTCACTTAGATGAACTGAGAAAGAGTCTCAAGGATTCTGAAACATCTATATCTAGGGTCAGCCCTGACACACTTCCCTATTCGGCAGGCATTCCCAACTACGATCTCGCATCAAGACTAGTCATCGACAAACTGGAGAATGACGTGAGTGAGGCTAACTGTGAAAACGCTATTCTGAAATCTTGGGTTTCGCAGATCGACAAGGAGTTGAACTATGAAACAAATATGGCTCATTCCTATCGTGAACATGCTGTACCTTCTCAACGACAACCTTCTCAATCAAGCAAAAGAATCACTGATCTGCTGAAAGAGGTTGACAACAAGATCGCTGATGGAACTGAGAGGGACTACTACAAGCCAGCGGGTGGATGGGGCGGTCCGCCTGACCCTGATGGACCTCCTGACCCTTTCGGGCCTAACGGTCCAGGGCCACCTCCTGAACCTCCAGGTTTGCCTTCAGTTCGAGGATCACAACGCGATTCAGCAGATGATGTCTCCACAGCGGCTTACACTGCAGAAGAAGTGCCGAGAATGTCAAGAAGGGAGGCTGACAAAGTCTATGTTAGCCCATGGCCGAAGCAACAGAATCTTGGGGTTTGGCAATCAGACCTCATCAAGAGTGTTGTTCTTTCTGCAAATGATGGGGACAAAGCCGCATGGGAAGCATGGCTACAGCCGGCTATTCGACCAAATCCTGACATCGAGCTATTAAATGACAGTGGAGGGCAACGGTATCAGTCCATCGACGCCAAGTTGTCAATTGCATTGTCAAACGTGATAGCCCAAGCCGGCGATGTTGCTCGTCATGTAGCGATCAAATTGAGATTGAGAACACAAAGTCATAGTCGAAGAGGAACCTATGTCATGGGACGGAAATCTTGGCTATGATCCTGGAGCACTTCAGAACCCCAGGTCAACGAGAGACAGCCTTCACCATGGAGCACATCGTATCGATGAAATATCTCGGTGACTCAAACCTGGAAGTGTTCTACGAGAAATGGATGGAGATGGTATCAAACATGATGCCGGATGATGTACCTCCTGATGATTGGCTTCGTGACGCTCTATACAAGAAGATTCGAAATTCGAGTCTTATGATGTTTGACATCAAGCAGTACGAGCCATGGATTGAAGGAGACCAAAGACGAAACTATCGCTATCTGTTGGACGTCATCGAAAGGCACATCTCCAGAATCAGAGAGGACAAGCATGTGGCCGCTAGAGAGAAGTATGCAAGAGACTTTGCAGGTGGCGGCAAACCTACAGCTCCTGCCCCAAATCCAACTGCTGCTGCACCGGATGCAAATCCAAAAGCGAAGCCTAAAGCTATTCCCAAGGAGAAGGCAGCACCCAAGGCGAAGGCCAAGGCCGATGCAGCTCCAGTTCTACCATCACCTCAGCCTAAACAGCATGCAAAAGGAAAAGGGAAAGGTCAAGGGAAAGGAAAGGATCGAGCAAACAGCCGAAGTACCAGCCCTAGATCCAAGAAGAAGATCCCATGCCATTTCCATTTCATCAAGAAATCATGCAGGAAAGGCAAAGATTGTGAATATAGTCATGATCAAAAGGTGTTCGATGCGAACAAGAACGCAAAAGGGAATGGTCGGAAGCCAGGAACTCCAAGAAGTCAATCTCCGGCAAACAAGACCAAGAAGGTTGACGAACCATGCTGGCATTGGGCTAAGGGCAAGTGTCGGTATGGAGACAAATGCAACAAACGCCACGATCCTCATCTATTCAATACTGCTCCGAACACCGAAGCATCAGGCTCAAAGGCTACTCCTGCACTTATCCATGATTGGAGTGATGACGAAGGGACGTTCCACAAGGTTGCATCAAACGTGGTCAAGAAGAAGGTCAGATTTGATGAGTCTAGGACTCACGTTCAAACTTACGTAAAGAAGGACTTCGTGAAGTGCAGCCGGAAGTCCCAAACAACCTCCAAAGGTCATGGTAAAGTTGGTAAGCCCACTGATCAGATAAGGAAGGATGAACAATGGTCTTATTCATGCAGGTTAGCGTCGAGCCGAGGGAAAGCAATGGCTATTCTGATCGATGAGAAGGGTGAACACAGTGACATTGATGAAGTCCTGG